CAGGAAGGAAAGCTTGATAACCTAAATTTTTCAGTTTTGTATTTTAAAAAAGGAAGTGGACTGGGACTGAAAAGCACACTTTGAACATTATGACTATTCTCTGTGAATGACAGATGCAAATAAGACCAAGCATATTGTTCTGAGTGCAGTGTTTCTGTTAAGCATGCGCTAAGAAAATAAGCAATTCTGATAAAATAACCACCTTTTCAAGAACTCACCATGTATGGTCTCTAAGATATACTGTTCTTGTAGATAATGGGATTTGTGGACCTGCTGAAAGAGCGTGTGGCAAAGGAAGCAGTCAAGGCACAATATCAGCATCGTCGATGTAAACAAAAGGATGCCCCACTTCCAGCACCTATTGAGGTATGCGATGATTAAAAGTGTAGGTGAGCAGACATGACACACAATAGACAGAAAGCTATCTATATATTCATCTGACATTTCCTGATTGTAGGTGTGGATCACGTTAGCTGAGAAACTGACAGGTCGCCTTGGGGATGCTGTGACAGCTGCTTTCTCCCAGGTAACAATGGTGTATTATCTGTTATGTGAGCCTAGTAAGATGGGGTGGTGTTCTAATTGCAGTAATTTGAGATACCGCTATGTCTTAGTGTGATAAAGAACCTCAGAAACAGGCAATAGTGTCACAGCCTGTCCTGGCCATTCACTCCTTGCATACCTATGGTATGCAAGCCTTTTTAGGAAAAGATGTAATGGTGGAAAATGTAATCTGCCTTATCAAGAATCCCTGGCTGCTTGGAGTTTGTAACAATGAGGAGTAGACTCCCTTTCTACTCCAGAGCGCCTCTTGTTGTCTTACTTGTGTGTCCTTTTCCAATCACTAGGTTTTGACAATTGCATCAGCTGAGCCACTATGCTTACTCCATTCTGTGCCCCCAAGGTCTAAAGAGATAAAAAATGTTCAACGTTCATCTCTACCAACTGTTCATAATGAGAACAGAAAATCCAATGAACAATGCCAGGAAGTAACTATATCATCAAATGCAGAGGAACAAACCCCTACAGAAAATAGTGGGTTCCATGTGGACTTTGAAAGGATCTACAAGTACCTCTCAGTGATCTCACGTGGATCTAAAGCACCAGAACTCCCACCAGGTGGTAAGTCAGGGCTTGAACTAGAACAGGACACATTGACATAATGTGCAGCTGCTATACTACATAATAGAAATATAAAAAGTGTATAAAATACGAATCTTGGGCTTTTACTATTGTATTCAACTACATTCTTTTAGTGAAGGAAGATAGAAGCATACCTTTCCCCAGACACAATCAGTTTTTTAAACATGAAATTAAATAGACATTGGTTTGTGTCTGTATGTCTCATTAGTGGGATCAAATAGATACTGTCTTTCAGATACTGCCTTTACTTGAGATTTCAAAATTGAGAAAGCCTTCCTACATTGGAAGTACTTTCAGTTGGATTCAGCCTTAACTCATACCTAGAAGGACTCTCATTTGAATCAGTGGAACTTAAATCAGTAATCACTAAAGTCAAATTGATTTTAATGGATCCACTCCAAGTCTGGAACCAGGCAAAAACATTTTTATTTACCCAGTCTTTTTAAATATTTCTTGCTATCACCCCACCATTCTTTTAATGTTTGTTTGATGTTCTTTCATCTGATATTGCTTTATTCTAATCATCTTTGATCATTTTAATTGAACTGTAAGATAGGATATTAACGGATGCTTTAACAAAGTTTAATTGAAAGGTAGATATGTCAATACAGTCCACCAGTTTCCTCCCATGGGAAGAATTCCCTACTGAAAATCTTATTTTTGATCAGCAATCAACTTGGTTCCTTCCAGATTATTTGGACTAAAACCTCCATACCTGAGTATTGGTTTTGCCTATGGTATATGGGAGTTGTTGTCCAAACCGTATGGAGGCCACCAAGTTGATTGCTGATCAAAAATAAGATTTTCAGTAGGGAATTCTTTGAATGGGAGGAAGCTGATGGGCTGTATTGGCATATCTATCAGTTTCCAACTCCTGTATTAAATCTAAGTAGCTGAATGTCTGATATGGGGAAAAGTGGAAAATATACCACTTTCTTGACCACATCTGCTGGGACAACAGAGGTAGCTCTGAAAATAATTTGAGAACCTACAGGGGCTAAAAACTCATGTGTATAGTTTTGCTGAGGCATTGTTAGGTCCTATCCTTTCTTCCATGTTTTGCTTTCTTTCTGCAGAGTCAGCTGTGCTCCTAGATTTGTTACTGTCGCTACCAGAAGAGCTTGGCTGCTTGGACTTTAAAAAGCTGAAGACCCATATGTACAAATGCTATATTGACTTAACTACCAACTGTACAGGTGAAAGAAGCAGAGCAAATGCAGAGGCCACTCAGCCAGTCAACAAGAATGAAAACCTTAATTCATTTCATGTTTTTCCAGACCCTAGCAGCCTTCCACAACAACAACAGGGTAGTTCTCCTGCCTCTTCCAAAGATGATACAGCACCAGCTTTTACCATGGACTGGAAAACTTTGGGAATCTGCCCTTTGAATTCATTTTTGCTTCCCTTGGATATCCTGGCTCGAAAAAGCAAGTGCTTAAATTAAGGAAATTGGATTCTATGCTACCACATGCCTGCAGTGAACTTTGTCCTTTAGAATACTTGAAGTTGTTTCTGGAAGAAGCCTAATTAGTTCTACTGTGTTTACCTGTGGCTTGACCCCTTCCGTGTGGCTCTTGTAGCAGTATTGTGTTCAAGCAGCCTAGCCTACTCTACAGCTTACTCATGGGCTTGCTTTCTAAACGGACTGTGTATGCTGCTTTATTTTGATGTTCTTTCTGTAAAGATTTTCTTTATTCTGCCAGTAACAGCTAGGAAAATAATCTGAGCTTATACTACAGCTGATGCCTGGTATATCATCAATTATAACATCTTATACAATCTAATACAAGAACACAATAGAAATCAAGTTAGATTGTATCTGAGTTGAAATGCTTATTCTATCCCATGAAAAATAGCAAAAGAGTTGTTTAAAGACAAAGCCATTTCAGGTAACTTGCTCAGTGCCTTTTAATATCAATGTTACATTGAACAGCCTTTGATAAGTCTTCTTGACTTATTTCCTGACTAAGAAGATTTTCCTGTGCTAATTTCTGCTAAGAGTCTTGCTATATGGCTAGGGATTTAAGCATTGCTTTTTAAAGCATTTTCTTTCCTTCCAGATTTGGTTTAGGTAACATTACTATGAAAAATTAAAACAGTCTACAGCTCCCTGAAGTATGTCAGCAAAAATATGTACAGTTGTTAATGGGTTCAGGGAAACTCACATTTTGACTGCATGCATATTTGATTGTGCTATTCTTGCCACCGTTGCCACTGTTCTGTTAGTATTAGCTAAAGGAATGGAGCTTGCATCAAAGTTTAAACAACCATGTAGTGCTAGGAAAATAATTTATTCAAGAGATGTGTTCAAAAAAGCACTTGCAACGTCTCTCAGTAGTACTTGGAGAGAAGCAACCACATATAACAAGTACCATAAAACATTACTTGCAGCTTTAGAGATTATTCCAAATTCAAGTTAATCAAATTAGGGAAAGTGCAATGATTTTGCTTCAGTCATATGATCTTGTTGATGAGGGAGATAAGTTCTAAGTGCCAAGACTGCAAGAGGGTACACACAAAATACTAGGGCCAGAGCCTCAAATGACTTGTTTTTCAAGAAATCAGTCCTAAGAATGAGTCCTAGAACATCAGTATCTTTGTAAGTGAAGGAATGGTGTTAAAAACATTAAGAATTAAGACAGGAGAAAAGGCCTTCCCCTCCCAGCATGCCTGGATGTTGTAAGTCTTTTTTCCATCTTAACTTTCATAGGATAGTACCATAAGCCAGTGCTGGTGCTACTAGAGCGGCAAATGATGTTACTTTGATTACCTTTGTTAGACATGTAGCCAGAGCCTCTAAACTTAGAGGATTGGCATCTGCACTCCACCTGCCCTGCAAACCAGCTAGAGGTGCACTTTTGGCAGTGTTAGGTGAAGAATTTCAATAGGGAGGGAAGGCAGCTGTAGTCCTGCAGAACTATGTTGTACCCTGACAGACCTGGTCTCTTTCCCTTCCCTGTTGAATGTCTTCATCACCCCTTTAGAGATACAGCTAGAAAAGTAGCAGCGAAGATAATCCAAGGACAGAGTTCCAGCTCCAACAAATCCTGTGGCCCTGTAAATGCTGTCTAGGGCCCATAAGATGGAGGAAGAGGAAGGAAGTATGGAGGAAGTAACCAATTCCTTTAATAACTTTGTTTTATCAGATGTGGATGTTATTTAAATCAGACATTGTAACAAAAGACAAATTCTGACATTCCATTTTCAGGTACTTGCAGGATTCTCTATTCCAATACAATAATAAAAGTTGTAAAACTTGATTTCATGTTCACCTGTTGGACTGTGACAACTGGACCATCTATAATTATGAGAAATACTCCATGTAATTGTACTACTAGAGATCACAGCAATTCTAGCAGGCTGTGCTTCCATATGCTTACTGATAAATCTGTGGAAGACATTTCCCAAATGGCATTGTAGAATCCTTCATAGTATTTGTAAAATAAAATGCTAAAATAGTGCCCACAATTCTCAACACATAATTCAGGAAGCATCTCTGTTTTCTTTATTAGGTTGAACATAGGAGTGCAGAGAAGCCTGTAGGGAAAAAATACAAATTGCATATAGGAAATTACACAAGACATGATCCCATTGACAGTGGAACATCTCGGCTGTTTATAAGAGGCATAAAAGGATTTAATAATAGAGCTACAGCTACTACAACTTTATTTCATAAAATAATGGCTGTAGTCTAAGATACTCTAAAGGCACATGAAGAGAAGATACATTTTTTAAATGTCAAGGGCTAATAAAGAGTATGATGCTACCAAGTTTCAAGTAAGAGAAACAACTGTAATCTGCAACCACACTAATAATCTATGGACCTTCTTCCAGCAATCAGTAATGCTCCTCCTCCCATAGATTTGTAGAAGAGCATAATGGTTGAAAAAGCTTAGGACTTACCTGAATTAGAAATTGTTCTTTCCTCAGTTTCCTGTAGAACTGCATCACACATGAATTGGCTTTTACTACCTTTGGATCAAAATCCAGAACACGAAGACCCGCAAGGCTTCGTGCTCGAGAAAGTGCTACATATGCCTGTCCACATTCAAAAACACGAGACAGAGAGATCTCAGCACAATCAAGGGACATACCCTAGGAAAAAGAAGAGTATAAATGAACAAGGGGAAACAATACCCAATAGGCAGTTTCACAAGACATGATAAACCACCTACAAAAAAGCTGTACAGTGTGGGTTGCGTGCAAAATAATTTCTGTACACCTGACACAAGACTCACTCCTTCCTCCAACCGGTATACCAGTGTCCTTCACAGCAGAATCAGTCCTTGCTTCCCACTCTCCAGTCCACTGGTTATCCCTTACTATTCTTCCAAACCTCAAAAATAATCCCCCAGTTGCGGAGCCACAACCTGAGGGGCATTTTATTTTCATCCCCAGAAAGTTGCACCATTGTGTTTGTAATTCGTTAATTAAATTTGTAGGGCTTTCACAAGTCAGCTGTCCAATTTGTGTAGTCTTCTCTGGTCATTTTCCGTATATTCTGCTGCTTCCAGATGAGTAATCTGTTATTGGATTGCTCTGCCCAGCTTCTGTTCCACTGCTGATTTATAAATAAGTGGAAAGAGCAATTAAGCAAGCTCTTTACACAACCCTGCAAAAAATGTAGGGCCCAGACTTGTAACATCCCAGAGCAAAAGCAGCTTTGGTAGTTATTGTCAGTTTTGGATTGCTATTCCTGCCTTGGTTCCCTGCAGATTTGGTGATGTGTCACTAACCTGACTTTTGTGGATGGAAATGGCCCAGGCAAGTTTTAGGGGCAACTGTTGACGAATCAGATATGCTCCCGCTGGTCCCTTTAAAACCCATCGTTCTGGCCCAACGACATTAGTGACGCCACACAGAAACCTCACTTTTGGCAGTCCTGTAGAGCAGAAAGAAATTAAAGCCCAAAGCACTCTGATGCCTTGTATTAGGGAAAGGTAATCCTGCAACTGTCACATGTCTTGGGATATACTGCAAAGTGGGTCAGAACTTCTTTGGAGACAGGAGGAGGAGGCAGCCCAACAGTCAGCTGGGCTGCCAATGCAAAAACAGCTTGATGAGACTTGACGCAATAAAAATGGGATGACAAGAGACAGGAACTACCTCTTTTCCAAAAATAGCATGGCATGGAACAGAGGCATCTGTGATCACAATAAAAACCTTTCTAAAGGAAATTTTCAGAGACTAACAGACATCATCATTACCAGAAGATCTTTCTAAGTGTGCTCATCAGAAACCAACCTTTTCCTTCAGTTTCAAATCCAATCACAACTCCACGAGCCCCGTTCACCAGACCTCGGGCCACATCAAGATTCTTAGTAAGCATCACCTAGTGAGAAGAAGCACACAACTCACAAAGGAACACTCTCCCCTGGGGTTTGCCACCACTAGCATCATTAGCTGAGTTTGGAACTAACAAGAACAAGTGGAAGGAAGCTATTCATGCCTGTAACACTAAACAGTTTCTGTCTATGCCACTGAAATTCTCAGTTCCTACCTGAGCAGGGCTGCAGCTCAGTTCAAAATTCCAGCCTGAGTAAGCTCTGTGAGTTAGCCTGCCACAGATTTATCAGAGCAAAATCAGCATTAACAGAATGGAAGGAGGAAATGGAGCTGCTCAGCTGGACCATTATATAAGGGAATTTATGACTCTGCTCAAGCCTGAACTTCCAAATTACTGTCAGCAATTACCTGTAACTGAAATCATAGCTCTCAGACTGACATATAACATATGTTAAGGGTATAACAGACGGCTGCTACAGAAACCAGGCCTTTTGCTATTATTCAGGGCTTATCAACTATTTACTTTTGATATTGCCAGAGTCCACACCAGGAATATTCCAGTCCCTCCAGACTGGGGACTTGGTTTGTAAGTTCCCATGGCAGGAAGGGGTAAAAAGATGCATGAAAAAGGGCTTTGGTACCAGTGAGAGAGGCAGAGGAGAACAGAACTGTTTCAAGCAGAGCCAAATGCCACTGCTAACTCAGGAAATGCCTCTAGCAAAAAGCGATAGTGTTGTGTGCTCACCTGGGCACCTTGCTTCAGCTCAATAACACTGCTTACAGGACACTGTGCATCAAGAGCTTTCACCAGTACAGGATCACTGTCCACTGCCTTGAAGGACCTTTGTTCGCCTACAAAGGACAGACGCAAAAATAAACTATTTCAGTCCCTTTACCCCTTCATACCTTCTGAAAAGGCAGTTTCCCAGACTTCTTGAGAGCTGAGCCACCTATAGGAAACAATCCCTCTACCTTTGTTATCCTTCTCCAGCCCTAGGGGCTCTGAGCTCCACAGTATTAGAAACAACAAGCTCTGTGTGGCTCTCCCACAGCATAAACCGGGTCCTCTCAAAATCTCAAATATTAGATCATATGCTCCCTATTCCTGCCACATATGTGACAACTTCCAGCCATCAACTAATTCTTCGCTGAGGGAGATGAGTGTATCCTTCTATTGTTCTGTAAAAAAACTGGTGGCAGAATCCTAGGACAGAGAGACTTAACTGTTGGTGAGGTGGGACACTGTCTGATTCTACCTTGCCCTCTCACAGTGTTGTTTTATTCAGATGGAAAATAGCACTGAATGCTTCCCCGTGATGGTTCTCACCCTCCAAAGTTCATACTGCAGTTCAGAGCCCAGCTTCTACTGAAAGGAAGGGCAACTTATCCCAATAGTAGCCACTGCAGCATCCTCACCTGGTAACTCCTGCAGTTGTCTGGAATTTGTGAGTTCTACATCATCCTTGTGAGTGCATAACCGAGTAGCCAGGATTCCATCTCTCTCCACTCTGTTGGTAGCTGTTAAGACCAGCTGTTTGGTAACTTCCTCTGTGCATCTGGCAGACAGTAACAGAGACACTTGAAAACAAGAAGAAGCAGACATCCAGAAAATTCAATGAGAAACAGCAAAATTCAGGAGAACACACTGACACTGCATAGCTTACCATGCTTGGCTTAGAACCCAGCTTAATGTTTTGTTCCATGCAAATCATGGAATTGTATCATCAAAACATGATGATTACTCTGTGTTAGCTATCACATGCATGTGTGGATGTGGCAGATACACGTAGGGTGGGTGTACATATGTCCATACTATCATTGCAACTACTCTAAAATACAACAAACATTTAAATATGGAAGAAACACAGTACCTCTAAATTCCCCTGCCTATTGAAAATCCCCATTCCCACAAACTAGTGTCCTCTAGACATGTTTAACTCCAACTCCCATTATCTGTAGGCAGCTGGGACAAGTTGTTTCCTAAAGGATTCAACATCTACCAGCACTTCTCTGTGGTTCCTCCATACAAAGAAAACTGGGCTCAAATCGGAGGCTGTGCAAATGAGAGAGAGCAAGGAGCAGGTCCATCAGTGTTCAAACTTCACAGAAGTAAGTATGAACCGAAGGAGAGGCAAAAGAAGCAGAGGTCTCTGGAGCAGCAACAGCAAACATACAGCCTCACATGTAGTCCCTCCCAGCCATTTTTTCTAGCCCCCACTAGAGCTATTAGTCTTTCCACCCTCTGCCACAAATGCCACTGCTGGCCAAAACAAAAAACAAAACAAAACATGATTTCTTTTTACAATAAGGCATGCAGGGATCTTCTTTTTTTTCCCAAAAAAAAAAAAAAAAAGCAGAATTATGTGGTTTTTCCAGTGGTGGTGGTGAGAAATGCAGCAGGGAACAATATGATCCCTGATGGGTTTGAGAGAGAATTTACCCCAAACTTCTAGCTTTGGGAGTGAGAAAGACAGTTGCTCTTGGCATGCCTTCTCAAGGTTTGCTTCTTAGAATTTGGAGGAGGAGGAGGAGGAAGAGCTGAAGGAGGGCTCAGAATGTGGGACAATGCCAGGTGCTGAGAAAAGGTAGTACTTCCCCTAATACTCTCTCAATAAAAGTCATTTGTCAGGGTGACCAAGGCTGATCTGGTCCCATAACCAGGTCAAAGCCAGATTAGAATGTGTGTGTGTAATCAGTATCCTCCAACAGTGCCTGCAGCTGCTCCAACACAACCCTCTCAAGTACCTTCCCTAAGAAAGGGGAATTTGTAACTAGGTGTATCATTAGGTCCAGAATGAGGTTTTTTTTTTTTTTTGTTATTTTTTAGACCTGCCCAACTGCCTCCCTACAGGCAGCAGGAACCATGCCTTCCTGTAAAGATATACTTTCTATTCTCTGGGCCCACTTGGTCATCTCAGCTTGTTTCTAATAGTCAAGAGGGCATGGACCAAGAGTGCACATGGTCGGTCAGACTGCCGCAAGCACCTTGTCCATGTCCAGGCCACAGCAACTGAAACTGATCCCACAGAACCAGGCAGGCCATGGCATCAGACACCTTGACTGGGGTGGTGATAACAACAGTGCAGAGTTTGCTGTGATTGTTTCTTCAAAGTGCCTGAAGAAAGATCACTGCAGGTCCTAGAGGGGACCAGGGTGCCATTTGCCAGGGAAGGTGTTGACAGACCACCTGAAAGAACACAGGAGCCACAGGAGGACACAACAGAGGCAGCAAAGTAAACACACTGGTTTGGAAATACTGATCTTTTTCCAGTATGCTTGGACCTTGTTTAAAGTTTTCTCATTCATATTTACTGGGCAAGTCTGCATACTAACTGGTTACTGTAACAAACTTGCAACTAAGTGCTCAATCCTATGCACCTTTAAACAGGAAAAAAAAGTGGTAGGGAATGCCGGGAGTTGTAGGACTTGTTTCATACTCATGTTACTCAGACGACTAATTAAAAATCCGATAGGCAGCTTGTTGTGTCTTACAGCTTTTTGCAGCAGCATAGGAGCAAAAATGCTTATTTCAAGGCCAGATTCCCCAGGTGTGCCAGCAGCCTCTGTGAATGGGCAGGATGTACATTTAGCAGGAGGGGACTTGGAACAGGAGGGTTGCTCAGAAACAGATGAGGTGGGTACAGCTCTCAACACCAAGACACAACGTCTGCAGAGGAGGGCAGCCCAATTAGAGGATCGGCATACAGAGAGGAGGCGTGCATACTTCGCTGCATCCCAAGAGACCCCTTCCCTCTCCTAGCTAGTGTCTTCACAGAATAAGGAGATGGCATCTCACCTGCCCAGGCGGACCGTGTTAAGAAGAGAAATGAACTCCTGGTCAGTCTGCCTCCGCACCTGTGTCAACTCCATGTTCAAGTGGATACACTTCCGCCAGCATTTTGCCTGAGAAAGAGTGCTCTTTGTTCAAATGGTAGGTCAGCCAGTGGCAGAGCATGTAATGAGAAAGAGCAACAGCAGCAGCATACCTGGAAGCAGAACTTGGGCTGCTCAGCAGCTTTGCTGACTGGAGGCAGTTGTAGAAAGTCTCCGCAAATGATGAGCTGGATTCCTCCAAATGGATCTTCGCATTTCCTGACTTCTCTGCCAAGAAAGCAAAAGGCATGGAGCCATGCTCAGGGAACCATTTCTACTCTGGCCCAGGAAAATGGAAGGGAATAGCCTAGCACTAGCCAACAGCAGCCAAACAAACACTCCCACCAGCAAAAACCTGATTCCCAGGACACAGTGGCTCTCTCAGCTCTTCTGAAACTCAGCCATGTTACACTATGCAATCCAGATCTTCCATGGTCTTCAGAGTACATGCCCAAGGCCAAGGTTCTTCCAAGCACACTAGGAAAGACAATGAAGGCAGCTTTCCCCTACCTAGTGACCTCTGAATGTGTTGAACTACAACTTCCAGCAGCCCCTAGCCTAGACCAATCCATCTAGAGGGCACCCACTTGTGGAAGTTAAGGTTTCCTAGCCACATTCTTTAAGGAGTTTCACAGAGTTATGACATTTCTGGAGATAGGAGTGGGAGGGGAGGAGTAAAGTGGTACACAAGAAAAGTACTTCAACACAACCAAAACACTTCAGGAGTAGACAGCATTGAATTCTATGCATTAAAGGAGTTAACACTGAAGAGCTAACACAGCGAAGAGGTTAGAATCATCCAGAGCCGAAATCTCAACTCATCCACAAGCTGACAGGATGACTGTTCTCACTTAGCCTCAGTCACTATCCCACTGAGTGCTACAGGGTAATGGTAAGCTGCCTGATGTAAAGATTGTGGAGATAATTTGGGAAGTACCTGAAGAAACTAGAAATAGTTCTAACTTATTCCACTCTCCCTCCCTCCCTGCTCTAAGGATGATCCTTCTACTTTTGTCCAGACCACATACTAACACAGCCTTCCCCAACCTGAAGCCCTTCAGATATATTGTACTATAACTCCCATCCCTCCCAGCCAGCACTTGCACTTGGCAAACATCTGAAAGCAGCAGGTAGCTCTTACTCTTAAAACCATAAATAATCTTGGGCAATAATCCTAAAAGCTTCTAAATCAGTCTTCTCCAACCAAGAGAGGGACCATGCTGTCTGAGGATGATGGGAGTTGGAATCCAACACACCTGGAACCAGGTTGGGGAATGCTGTGCTAGCCTGTATCACATGTCCACTTCAACAGGGATGGGCAATGTGTGGCCCACCAGATCTTGTTGGATTACTACTCATGTCAGCCCTCACTATTAGCTCTGATGCAGCCCACCAACAAACTGAGGGCTGATGGTTCTCCATTCCTGCCCAGCAACACTTGCACAAGTGCAACATGCAGTAAGACAGAGAAAGTAAGGGACAGAATCCAGGTCGCAGCTACTGAGAGCAGCAAAAAGGCTACAGTTGTGTAGTCTAGCAGCTCAGAGTGGACAATTAAGTGAAAAATTGCAGCCAGGCAGGAGCAGCCCTACTGTGGCCCACACTGTGCCGAGTGCTTGGACCTGTAACACATGGTCAGAAGCACAGAAACGGCCAACCTTGGCCAAAAGTCTCTAAAGTTGCTACGGTGCCTACTAAGACTCAGTGTGGGCCGTGGAGCTCTTGGATGCACAACCTAGCCTCACAGTGCTCCAGAAAAAACCTGTTCCTTCACTCAAACTCTACCCCTTTCTCCACCAAGAACTCAAGCACAGATCGCATCAAGAGGTCGCACTATGATTACACGATGCTTTGTGTTCTGCCCGATTAATATCACCAAGCCACATTCATGCAGGATCAATGAAACCACAGAAACCATGGAAGGGAAGGAGGGAGGCTCCGCAGACACACCTAGCCACTGCCTCCAGTTTATCAAAGAAATCGCCCTCCACCATAGAGATCTCGTCGATGATGAGATGGTGGCAACTCAGCCACTGCTGCCGAACCCCGGGCCTCTGGGCCAGCTCAATGCACTGATGCAGGGGGGCTTTTCCTGAACCAATACCTGTGGAGAGAAGATGGAGAGCATGCCTGTAGTATCTTTTGCATGCCTCTTTCTATTCTACCCTCCTTCTTAGCGTTTTGACTCCCAATTACCTGCAAAGGCATGAAGTGTGGTGCCACCAATCTGACAAGCTGCAACCCCTGTGCTGGCCGTGGCGTAAGTGCTGTTTGGAGGCAATGAGGCCACAATCCTTTTCAGCAAGAAGGATTTCCCAGTCCCTTTGGGGAAATTACTATTATTATTATTATTGTTATTATTATTACTACCACCACCACCACATTTCTATCCCACCTGTTTTCCTCAGAACAGCCCTGTGGGGTAGATAAGGCAGAGAGTGAGTAACTGGCCCCAAGGGAGCTTCATGGCTGGATCTCCTGGAGTTTTAGAGCACATTTTAGCTCAAAAATTTTTTCAGTGCCACTCACAGTTCACTTCTGCAACTTCCCATCAAAACAGAAATATTTAAGTGGTGGCAGATGCAAATTACCAGGAAGTAGCATTTAGGTTACAATCTGAGGTCCATTTAAAAGAGGGTCAAGCTACACTGAACTCAGTGTGATTTACCTCTAGTAAACAAGCTTGGGACCATACTGCAAATGATAGAAATCAGGGCTTAAAGGAATCTCTCTCCCTTCTCAGAACAGAGAGATCACACATGTTAGGAGCACCAAGCAGGATTCTGTATAAACTGGAGGACTTTATCCATCTGAAAAAGAACCAGCATGGTATAGCAGACTGAGTGTTACAGTGGGACTTGGGAGATCACTAGGCCATGAAACTCACTGAGTGACTGCCAATAACTCACAGCTAACCTACCTCATAGGGTTGTTGTGAGGATAAAATAGTGGGGAAGGACCTTAAATTGTTCACAAAGGTAAATAGGTGGGATACAAATACTGATAATATAGATGCAAATGATAAGATATAAACTGCAAGAGGAACAAAGTGGGATTTCCTTAGCTCAAATTCCCAAGATTGCCCCAACCTAGAAGAGACCTGGGATTCACTATTTGGCAGATGGAGTCCTTGCAACTTCTATCCTGTGCAGTCATACTCTTCTCTCACCAGCACTGCCTGTGAAGAAGATGTTCTTTCCGCTCAGCACCGCGCTCAGCACCATCGATTGTTCCTGGGAGAGGGCTGTTCCGGAGCATAACGACCAACTCTTCTTCACCTGCTGTCTTTCATCTTCCTGAAAGGAAACACCATACTTGATGCTCTTCCCCAGGTAGAGGTAACCTGGGCAAATCTCAATGAATCTGAAGTGCTTACAAAGGAACAAGCCCCCTCTCCTGCTTGAAAGGGCCTCTCTATACAGAGGCAGAGCCATTTGACTCTCACTTGCTCCAAAACATTCTGCATTCAGTTACTTTGTTAACATTTTGGAAAGAAGTAACTATCTGAATTAGGAAATGAAATCAAACTAGTTGTGCTCCTCGATAGGACTGCCACTCATCTTTTTACCAGGTATCAGCAGCAGCTAAAGTTCATCTCCATAATTAAATATATGAAAACATCTGAAACTGACACAGACCATTAACCCATCTAACCCACTTTTGTTTACCCCAACCAATGGTCCAGTTAGGTATTTTAGACAGGCTCCTTGTTTTATGAGGATAACAGGGTCTTTAAATGGGAATGTGTACTGTTTCACTAGCTTCAAAGTATGTCAAGCTAGTCCTGTGTCAGTTTGGACCCTCTGGCTCATTCTGCTGAATGAAGAAGACCTGGACTTCTCCCCTCAAGTTCTGTCTTCACAGCACTACAGACTCTGACTGGCAGTAGCCTCCCCATGATCTGATCATGTGCTGCTCTTTTGTTCTCATCACAAGCAGCTCTAGAAACAAAGCACTGCCCTTGCAAGCAGATAGAACTCTTAGTTCAGCCTTCCCCAATTTGATACCCTCCAGACAAATTTATGGAGAAGAATATCAATGGCTACTAATCCTGATGGCTATATGCTGCCTCTAGTATCAGAGGTGGCACACCTATGTACACTGTCTGCTTGGGAATTTTTGAGATCTTGTAGGCAGCTGGATGGCCATTGTGTGAACAGTATCCTGGATTAGATGAACTCTTAGTCTGATCTAACATGGCCATTTTGTTCTTGGAAGTGCTGGGAATGCTGGAAATTGTAGTCCAGCACACCTGGAGGGCACCAGGTTCAGGAAGAATGTCTTGGCTAGCCTGCATGCTCCGTCAGAAGTCTCTTACCTGCTTATCGTCCGATTCTCTCCAGACACGCTTCTGAGACGAGCAGCCAGAGGTCTGACCTTTCCGCGGGGTGGCTGCTGCATCAGAGAGCGCTTGTCGGGCACGCACTTCCTTCAGTTCGCGGGCCTGCACCGGGCTGACCGTGTCGAACGTGCGTGGCAGGCTAGAGAGAAGCCTCGTCCGCTCACGCACGCAGCCTTTCCCCTCCCGAGTAGCTTCGAACTTGATACGGAGCGTCTGCACGAAGCGGCGCAACCGATCCGGAGGACAGTTCGACAACAGCAGCTGTATATGACTAGGGCCCGCTGGACCCAGCCGGATCGTGCTCTTCCCGTCCTTCACGAAACGTGTGAACAGTCGCACTTCATTCTGCTTCAATGGGAAGTTCTGAGCACGGCCGGTGCCACAGGCAGCCGTCACCTGCAAGGCCAGTTCACGGAATTCGTCCCGTCCCAGTGTTACCCAGGCATCGCGAAGAAGGACTCGATTTGGAGCGGCCGCTGCACGCAAGAATTCGATTGCTACCGTGCAGCGAATTCGCCCATCCGATTCGGAACCTTGTTGCATTCTGTTCTGAGTGTATACGAAGGATCAACGCACAAATGCTGGAAGAGACCGAAACAAGCTAAAATCGACGGCATGTGCAGATGACAAATTTTAAAGAGTTTTTTCCGCTGTCTGTACCTACTGTTTTTATTTCTACGCAGCCTCACGCGTCCAGATTCTTCATTTGGCTTTCCTGGGTTTTTGCTTCTGCCGCATGAAGATTCAAACCTACAGCACTTGCCGCAATAACCAATCCGTGCGTGGAGGCATTTAACTTCTCAGCCAATGAAAAGTGAAGGGGCGGGGTCAGAATACCCGGCAAATCCCGTATTTGTCTGGTGACATTCTATTTAGTCGCCAGGAGATGAGAAGGCCGTGGCAACGCCACGCATGCGCACACGTAGTGAGGGGGATTCGGGCAGCTTTCGAACCCGCTTCCGTAGACAGCCGCTGCAGCGCATGGCAGGAGCTAAGGGAGCCTCAAAAGAGCCACTGGACCCCGTGAGTCAGAACAAGATCTTCTGCGAGACGATCCGGAAGGAGCTGCGATGCCAGCGCCTGCACACGGAGTACACAGTGAACCCGCTCCTCAAGGGTACGGTACTGGGGGCAGGGCAGGGCAGAACCAGGCAAGTAGCTGGGAGGAGAGAGAAAGAAGCGGCGGCGGCGACCATAGGACGTGAATCTCAGGGCCAGCCCCAGAACATTTGGGTGCCTGAAGCGAACGACGCCCCAGTTCATCATACAAAAGCCAACTGCACAAACAGTTAAATTTAATGACAGAATAGTGTCCCCCACTTCACCAGAGGGCAAAGACTTTCCCAACCTGATGCCGTCTAGGTGCGTTGAACTACAACACCTATCATCCCCAGGAGCTGGCTGGTGCTGACGGGCACCATAGTCCAACACACTTGTAAGGACCTGCTTGGTTCAGAGGATGCAGGGCAGAGTGTGTGCTGTACACAACCAGGGCTGCTAAGAATGGGATTGCCAGAAGAAATGGCCTTAACCTCCAGCACCTGTTGCCTGAAACATTTGCCTCACTCCACCTGATCAATGGGCATATAAACTTAATCCTCCACCTCAGGGTTAATGGAATCCTAAAGTCATATACCCAATTTGTAATGACAGTGGTTTTCCAGTCTTCCCTTGTACTTCAAAAGGCAGCTTGACACAAGTGGGGAAATATACAGCTAAGCACACCTTAGGGTCTTCTATAGTCTTCTATAGAACACCTTCTATAGTTGAATCTATAGAAGAAAACAGCCATGGAGACTAACTGAAAGCATTTATATATTTATTGTACCACAGGAATCTATTTTTGTTGTAATAGATTAACAAAACTACCTGTGAAACATAATTATCAGACTCTCTTTAAAGCAAAGCAGCTTTGGAAAATTTTCAATATTTTTCTCTTGCCCCACTTGCAGATTATGCATCTATTACCCATAGTACATTCTTGTAGACCTGCATTTACGAAAAGGTGTTCTTAGCTGAGTTGCTACCCAAAAAAGGATGTGTGTACACACAAATAAGTGGAGCAATAACTTTTTAACTTTGGTAGTCTTAGCTCTTGCTTAAACTCTTTCAGAGAGTGATTTGGATTATTTTCGTTTTGCCTTTAGTTCATACCTTAACTGGAAAACCTATGTCTTGGCATGATAACTTAGAAGAACCTGCAGATGGTAAGACACCCTTGCCTTCAAACATTTTAAACTGTTTAGTCAGAGAAACAGAATGAGTATCTAAGAATTATTTTGCAGCATGGATCAGAGGGTGAAGCATAGCATGTGGGAATATCATAACATTCTTCTTTGTAAACCCAAATGTCTTACTTCTGGGCATCAATTCCAGGTGGGACATATTTGTAGAGCATTTTTGTAATCTGCATTTTGGCCACCAAGGCTCAGTTATAATTTTCATTAACTGTTGTCCTGAAAAGCCTCTGACCAGTAGATCAAATTCAAATGGGAATGCCATTTTAGAACAAAATCTTTCACATGAACCCGTGAGCCAAAAGCAGTTAGCACATTGTCCTGAAGAGGCCAAGGCTGTGTTGCCGTTGTTGATACCTGCCATTGTTTCTAGCTTATGGTACCTGTATGAATGCCCTCCAAAATGTCATCCTGAACTGCCCTGTTCAGCTCTTGTAAACTCAAGGCTGTGACTTCTGTTATGAAATCAGTCCATCTCCTGTTTGGTCTTCCTTCTCATATTCTGCCTTTAACCTTCCTTAGCATTATTGTCTTCTCCAGTAAACCTTGCCATTTCATGATGTACCCAGAGTAAAACAGCTTCCATTTCATCACTTTTGCTTCTGGGGAGTTTCTGGCTTGATTTGAACTAGGATGCTCTTGTCTTTCTGTTGGTCAGAATATTTCCAAATCTCTCCTCCGGCACAGTGTATCAAACACATCAATTTTCTTCTTGGCAGCTTTCTTCACTGTCCACAGTGTTCACACCCACACAGTGATGGGGAATACAATAGCCTTAGTCTTCTAATTTTTTGACTACCATCTATTTGTTATTACAGATAAAACTGAAATGCATTATTACTGATTTTTTCATTATATCTTGGCAATTCAACATACACAGAAATATGTATTTTCTTGCTACACTGATTCAAGATACCGACAAGATGCAAATGGTCTCAAGACATCGAACTTCTTTCAAAGGAGGAATTTGTAATATGCATGAAGCATCTAACACATTAGCTAGTGCATTTATTCTATAATACTGTACTATTGAGTTAAACCCAACATTGTGCCAGCAAACATCCACTAGGACAATGGGATGTTCGCCTTCTCTTCTCCACTGAAGCCTAGTGTGTCTCAAAATCGCCTCTGAACTGGTATTGAAGGCAGGATGGGGGCTGCAGAGAGCATGAATTGCTCCTTCCTGTTTCTGCTAATGGAAGGATCATCAGGATTCAACCCACCATTTTTACATTCTATTTTCATGTGAAAATTAATGGGAGGGTTTAACTCTGAAATGCAGCATACAAATTCTGAAATAAAATGAAAAAATCAACATTTGGGATACAAGCCAGCACAATATAGGCCTGCATAAATACTATTAGTTCAATACTACATAGCAAGAGCACATTACTTGTACAGATGTCACTGTATTGTAGGTGTACACAACTTCTAATGCTTTATTTCCATAACTGAACCCAACAGCTAAATTCCTGAAGATTATTCATCATGCTGCTCTTGAACCAACCAAGAAATACACAGAACCTCAAACTGAAAGTCAGGAAATTGGCTGGTATTCCACACCATTGGTGAGTGAAGTTTCAGGGTACTTATGGGGAGATAAATGTTGTGGGAAATTGCTACATAAGTATTGAGATCCAAGAATCTTAATTATATAGAAATATAAAATAATTCTGATACATTATAGTAGGGGTAGATTTCATTTTGTCCTGAGGACTAGATAACATTTTGGAAAAAGCTCTTAGGATTTGTTTTTTAGTAGTGAGTGGGATCAAAGGGAGACACAAGCAAAAGTGGCTGGGATTGAAAAATCCAACCTCCTCCCACTGAATTATCAATTTATAGTGGGAAGCACGTCTACTCAGAATAGACAGCATCATCTATGCCCACATAAGTAGAATGGAAGCACTTTTATCCAGTAAGAACTTTCCCTTCTGTAGCATGGCCAGCTTGCAAGCCCCCTGTGGATCTCATCAGGCCCATGGGCCACACATTTCCCTTTCCTGCATTATACTTATGGCGAAGTCTGGAAAGACTGTAGGTAATGTGACACCTTCAGAAGTCTGACATTTCATCACATGGGGAAGGGAAGTTTCAGCAAAATATACAATTCCTTCCTTCCTTCCTTATCTAAAAGTTCTGCTATTCCCCTTCGCAGATCAGCATCAACAGGAATGACAAAAGGTTGTACTTCCCAAGTCGAAGCACTGAAATCACTCAATACATGGCTGCTATGTGGCGCCTGAAGGAGATGACAAAGGATAAGAGATAAAAAGGATATAGCAACACTTAGTTTGGCTGGAAGGATCCTAGACACCAATTTAGGATTTTTGATCTGCATTGAACCCCTCTCCTCATTATGATAGGATGCAAAATTGAGACTATTGGCAAGTAAGATCTCTCGCTGATCATTTACTGATTGTAATAAATTTGTTCCTGCTGTCTGTACTTATACCTAAGAAGGCCATTTTTATGGTGGGTGAATAGGAAAACCTGTTCCCCTTCAGAAGGAATTATCTAAGCATCAGCTATTCGTGCAGTGATTCAGTGACAGGTGCACCCAGCTTCAGAATGGGAGAACAAGCCCAGATGCCCTTATGAAGGAAGAGGTATTGAGTGTCAGAAACAGTGGATTCGCTCCTTCAGTTCCATGCAGGCAGAATATGGCTTTTCTATCAGATACCCAGGGAACTGAAGGACTCTCCAAGATCCTTTCAGAGCAAATCAGACTCTCTCTTTCCCAACATATTGGTATCGATGAAGTGGTCAAGCTGTCATCACTATTTAATTCAATATCTCACAGAATAGGCTCAAGGGAAAAAAACAAATCAGTATGAGAGAGAGGCAACAAAGTATCTGGTTTTTATCTATGTATAAATATTGCAGCATCAAGGTCAGGCAGAACTATCTGCTGCCTCCATAGCAAGTGGGAAGAAGGTCAAGTAGGACAAGGCCAACGTAAGTTCATGGTGATATGCTGACCACCTGAAAGAATTCAGATCTAACAAAGAAGAAAAGTCCGTCCATTTAATTCTTTATCGGGAGCGGTTCTTCATTTTCTGCCTCATCTTTTTGCCGGGTCTCTTCTGAAAAGTGATAAACACACACAATTGTCCATTAGCTTATCACCTTACTCGTGTTTCACACACGAAAGGCAGAAAAATTGGAGTGGGGGAATGAATGCAACCATGACAGTCCAGCTGCAGCAAGAAATTCCCAGTTGGTTGCTGCTCACTAACATTATTTTGAATGTTTATATCCCACCTTTCTTCCATCAGGGACTTTTAAGGTGCTCTGTACCCCAAGTCCTTAGAGCATATTCTTGGGCATTGTTTTATTGTTAAATTTGGCTAGAACATAGTCATGCTGACTATCCATTCCCTCTTTCCTGTTCATGGTAGGTACTCACATTGGCACCCCTTTTTCCGGCTTTCCCAGGACCTTTGTAGTGCGCCTTGCTAGCACGGAAGCTTGACACATCATTGTGACTTTCCTGAGTATTCCACTTTGACCCTTTCTTCTTGCCACCAAAACCAAACTTCTGGTCCTTGTAACGCCGTTTGGCATTTGGTCTAAAAAGAAAAACAGTCATGCTCGTGTACTTGTTTATCTGTCGCCTGATATTTTACACCCCAGCCCACTGACGGACTTTCTCACATGCATTCTCCAATGCTCAAAATCATTCCTATCTTTTGTTCTGTGCATCTGGTAACTGACATGTTGAATACACAGGTAGTGCATTTTCAAATGCATGCAAGCACCAAAAACTTTAAAAACACATAGAACTGAACTTGCATGGTTCAAACACAAAAAACACGAAACTTGGGAAAGCTGCATTCCTGTCCCACCCCTAGAAAGAGCCTTGTGCAAGAGAATTAAGCATAATGGCCTTTTGTGCCTGGAAGACTGTGGAGGCTTTTGATTTTTACTAAGTATTCAATTGCAAAACTGAAATTATAATAAAAAGTAATCCAAATGAAGATCTATTCATGCTAAAGTAAAAGTAATCAGTTTTGTTGGAAATCCTGTCATTTCTTATGTCTCACCCTTTCTTTACTGATCGGCCTCTAACCCCCTCCTCTTTCTTCTTCTTTTCTGGAGGAGCTGATGAATTCTCACCATCCAAGAAGTCCAATTTGTCTGAGAGACCTGCATGAATGACAGAACAGTGCAAAGAGCACTGGTTTAAGCATGGGCTTTGTCTCCCAAAACATATCTATACATATCAATATTTTTTAATTCTCTACAGTCTTTTTTAACCATCTTCTGGGTCCAGTCACTGTCATTCTCATTTTACAGATAAGAAACTAAATGTGAATTTAGGTAGCAGAAGCAGCTAAATCATATTGCACAGAACATGTATATATTTGGCCACAAACACTTGGGAAAGAGGATGCAACCTGCTCTTTCTAGGGCTCTGATATGCAGTAACTTATTAATGTCTAATGTACTGATGTGGAGACATCACTCTCACCATGATTTTAAAGTAAGAGGCCAACTGATAGCTTCTAGAAAGGAGAAACACAAAGGCTGTCAAGTGTAGAAATGCAGTGGAATGGTGAAGAAACTGAAAACCAGAAAAATTCAGGAAAATATTCCTTCTCTTCAACCCACCCTGAAATCTTCCCCAAATCCTTGAGGGTGGCAGGGGAGAACTTTGGTTTGGGTGGGGGTTATCTGTTTTTCCCCTGCCTTCCCCAAATCCCATCTTTCTGCATTTTTCCAGGTCTTCACATCCCTAGTCAATTTATATAAATGAATCAGCCTGACACAGAACACAAAGATAAATTTGGGCAAAAAAAATGTGATGAGCAATAAAGAACTATTAAAACTAGGAAATCATAATTAATGCTTAAATGACACATTCAGAGTCTGCATCCTGATGGGTCTTCCCTAATCAATGACTGTTTTGTGTGTAGAGCCCATGCCCAGTCACAGATAAGGACGTGCAATAGAAATAATAATTTCCTGTCCATTTGGTGTACTGATTATGATTTTGAGTTGCAAGTTCAAAGCAACCATAGACTATCTATTGGGACAGTCCTTTAAAGTAAGTATAACCCTTCTATTATGTAACAGTGGCTGGTGACCCCTACATAATTTCCCACAAATACAACTTGTTGCATCTTACATTACACCCATTTTCCACTTCTCTGGTAAAGTGGGGGAAGGGGGCAGAATGAGACAAAAAGAGTACTTAACCTTTTTGGTATTTCTTGACTGCATTCAACATTGTGGACTTTTCTTTCTGCCTCTTCTGCAGCACTTCAGTTTGTACCTATCAACAAGCGAAAGAATGCAGGGCTTACTCTCCCTTGTACTGTTTTCCCCTAACACCCCTCCTTTTGTGAGATGCACTCATTTATTTATGAAATGTATACACTGCACCAATAGTCCTACATAGGGCTTTTTGGGTGGTGTAGAATCAGCGCTAAAACCTGATAATAAAACAAGTAAAATACAAAATACAATATTGACAATGACATAGCTCATTAACTAAGATTATTTTAAACAGGTATAGTAAACTAAAGCCATCAGTAAAATTCATTAAAATGTTTAAATCAATTCAACATTATTCAGTTATTAAAATGTCTGGAAAATAGAACCGTCTTTGCCTGGTGCCAAAATGATTGCAATGAGGGCACCGGACATACTACTGTGGGAAGCCTATCCCAGAAGTGGGAATTCCCTTCCCGCTCCATGTGTTTGGATTCCTGTGTATGAATCTGCACATAAGCTAGAGGATTCCAATTCTGAGGCTGGCCAATCAGAACAGCAGGCATGTCTTTCCCTTCCCTCCCACTCAAGGCGCTTATTGGGATCTTGCTGCAAACGTTCTCACCTTTTTGCCGTATTTTCTCAGAGCACGGAGCTGTTTTGCTTTTTCAGATTTTTCCATAGCTTCTTGTTTGCTCTTCAGTTTTTGCCGAATCTAATTAAGACAGAGTGATCGATACGCTTTTTATACAGATGAAGGCAGGATTCTGACCTTGCAAGTATAAAACTTTCCTCGTTTGTGACAATGACCCTCTTCTCAGATACCAAAAATAAAAACTAGAGCCATTTTTTTAAAAGAGTACTGCATTCCTAAATACCAAGTTTCATGATTGACGTAGCATTTTAGGACTACTCAAAACTGTAACTTTTAAACAGAAGTTTGTCCAACATGATCACACAACCATGGCCTGCCATGGTTTCTGTATCATTCACCTAAAGTTATAACCATCTGTGACTCTGATTGATTGGACTCACCTGACACAGCACAGGTCATGCGTTGTGGCTTCAGTTGCCCAAATGCTGACCAGCATGAATACTGGCTATGGATTGTCCACTTATGTGAACCTAATCAGATAAACAGCCTTTGCATAATCCATGGCCTAAATAATACTCTTATAGTTGTATTGAATGTGTCACTCAGTAGACCCACTGAAGTGAAGGGGACTTAGAACGAGTTAATGATCCAGTCTCCACGGGCCCCCTCAGCCACTCAACTCCACTCCTGCTTCCATTGCTGCTTATTCCTACTCCTGCACTCAGCTCAGCAGCAAGAAGGCAGGACGTTGGCAAGCTTTGTGGTAGCAGAAAGCAGCACCAAAGGGTGAGGGAGGGAAGAAAGCAAGTGACAGAGGTGGCAGAAATGAGATGTGAGTGAGCAAGCAGACATGTGCAGGGCAGTGATGGCTTTGGGGTATGTGCAGGGCACAAGGAGCATCATGGAGAAAGAAACAAGTGGGCCTGTGGACAAGGAACATGGCAGCAGAAGCAAGTACACGGGCAGGCAAGTCAGCAGAAGCAACAGGCGTTTGGGGCGGCAGGTCAGTGATCAATGGGGTAGCAGAATGGCAGGCAGGGGAGAAGAAAGAAGCCAGGAAAAGAATGTTCTGGGGGCAGAGGACAGAAGAAAGAGTAAATACAGGAGGGGGGAATAAGAGAAAATCTTTTAAAAATGGCAAAAATTACATATGCACCCCCAGTCCAGGACGAAAGCTATAAAAGTAACCTGCAAATGTAAAAAGTTTGTCTATGATTTAGACTAAAAACAGAATAATCCTAATAATGTTAAGGATTTTTAGTACTGGAACTATGCTGTGGTAATTTTAGTCTCCATTGTTTAATCCAGAGGTGAGCAAATAAACTGACTCCAGCCATTGCTTATGTGCCAGAAAATTACAAAAGACCTTTCCAATGTGATGGAAGCCAAGGAATCTTGCACTTAGGACACAAGCAAATGGGGAGCATCTGAGGTGTGGGATGATGTTCATTAATCAAGCAGACAACTGCAGTTTATAAAAGCAGCACAGATTCTGTGACTGCTCCAATTAGTCATCTTTCTATCCCTCACCGCATGCTGCAGACTCTTGTTTTTCTGAGATGACTGAACATCAAACTGCACATAAAGAGACAGGTAATTGCCTCAGCATCCTCCATTATTTTTTGTGCTGAACAGCTAGTATCTGACATCCCTCTTGTTTCACAATGTATTATATTCTGTCCAAGACCAGTCCCCTCTGCAGGCAGCAGCACTGCTTCCAGAGTTCAGTTCAAACTGTAAGGGCACCTGGCTTATGACCAACTTATTTATTTAAACATTTGTATGCTGCCTATTGTACAGCACCTCTGGGCAGCTCACAATTAAAAACTAATGATCTGAGATGCTGCACACATTAAAAATAACTCTGTTGATGTTCTTCTCTGCAATCTTCCTCCAAAGAAATGGCAGCTGGCACCACTGAAATACCAGAATAAATGTGCTACAATTTCAGATCTTACAAGCAACTATAAATATCCATTGCAGCAGCTAGATGAAAAGAACTGAAGAGCCGCAAGACCTTACTTTCTGCATCTGTTGATCTGATTTTGCCATCTCTGCAAAATAGTCATCAGGCCGCCTAGTTGGGATTTTGAGCTGATGCAGCCGAGGTAGGGCTTCTAGTACAGACACTTGGGCCTGATGATAACTGGAGAAGCAAAAGTGTAACATATTAAAACTTTTACATCCTGCTGGAAGCTAAATAGCTTAGATGTTTTATTGAGCACTATGCAAGTACTACTGCTAAATATATAGTCCATAGCTTCAAACCAGAGGTCCACAGTTATAGGCATTATAACCTAGCAGCCACTATTATTGTATCATCAAGTCATCTCTTACAGTGGCTCTATAAATGAAAGCCCTCCAAAATGCCCTATCCTCAGCAGCCTTGCTCAGCTCATCTTGGATAAAATAAAGAGATCTAATCCCATCTCTCCCTTTTTATCTAAATATATTATTCCAGCCAAGACATAAGGATAAGCTTGCCTGCAGAGATCACATACAAATCTTACCAGTGCAGAACCTGAATTCTTATCTCCCGTTTCTATTGCTTTGCTCTTCGCCACAGGACTACCAGGCAGCTTGTGATATTGCCTTCTGAGAGCTTACTGCTGTTGATTGAATTCTTTCTTGTCTAGGTGGGCCTTTTTTCAATACCTTGCAAAATGTTTCATCTTTGTACAGAGACAATGTCAAAGCATTCGACATGATTTTCCAAATATTGTGTACATGCATGTGTGTCAACTAAGAAACAACTAAGTCATCAATGTGAGGGATGCTGCACACTGACAATTCATGACTGATATGTGGCAGCTGAATTTTCAGGAATGCTGTTAGTATCTGTTGCATTTTACTGCTGTGAGTTCACAGGATTCCAACTGTATTGCACCAGTACTAACCACCTGTCATAATTGGAGCATAGAATTGCTCTGGCAAGTTCAGCACAATTTTAATACAGAATGTGCACTTTCCAATGGGCAAAGGAAATGTACTAACAACCTTTCATATAAAAGGAATATCTTTTGCTCCTCAAACAGATCACACTATATAAACATAGAGCAAAAAGCAACAAAATGTTTCATTCCATTTAGCATTTTCAGAGGTACTGCAAGTATATAAATATAGTTGATATGCCATTAAATTTCTACATGTGTGTGGTGGGCAATGATACTGCTAACTCAAAAAGAGGTAGCGTGCAAAAAAGGTGGCTCCTCTTGTTATGTTTATGGCTGAAGTGCAATACATTAGGCTCACAGTGCAGAAAGAAATTCAACCTCATAACAGACTTACAATCTCATTTCTCTTTTGAAGTCATCCTCTGGGTCAATAGCATCTTTGTCAAGTGTGTGACCAGAGGCTGTAGTTGTAGTATTTTGTGCCAAAGAAGAAGTAATATCAAGCCTTTCAACCCAGCTTAGGTGCTTCTGGAATTCAGATAAGCATTGCTTCAGTCCATCCTAGGCAAAAGCATAGTAGTTGTACATGAGTGAATAAAACAGGATTCCCTTATACTGTCAAGTATGCCAAGAAAACCTGCAATGGAAGTCTGAGATATTTCTGTCCATATGCACTGTAGACAAGCCATCAATAGATATTGCACTGATATAACCATCTCTCTAAAAATATCAAATTCTTTTCAGTTTCCTATAAAACATCAAAAGCAGCTCTTATGATTCCTATCCAAAGAGAAAGCAGAGTTTTTTGAACCCCATGCTTTATCTTTCACACATCTACAAATAAAACAAAATGCTTCTGCCTCAACAATGCCAGCATAAACTAGAGCTGATACAGATTTTCCCTATAAAACAAATAAACAGCATTTTTACTCATTTATTTATGGAATGTATAAACTGTTCTATATCTTTAAAAATTGCAAGTAGTGAACAGTAAAGCAAGAAAGAATCAAAATACAAACCAATCAGCATTTTAAACCAATTTATACAAGTTACTTGCCCTCACCCAAAATACCTTCGTGGTTCAAGGAAGTGAAGCATCCATTGCCCTCATCCAACAATGGAAAGTCCTAGATTCCAGGTAATGAATGCAGTGTAGAGACTGAACTTTATTCTTTCCAAATGTTAAGAAGCAGAAGCTCAATCTGCCCAAACAAACTAATTACTCCAACGTCACTATCACACAATACTCACCACATTGTTGAAAGCTTTTGGTTGTCCTTCTAGCACAACATTCAGGCCTGGTTTTAGCGAACCTTTAGAAAATGCTTCCTGGAGCTATATTCGAGAAGGGAGATAGGTTAATGCCAGGCCAGAAAACTAGCACACACAGTATCAAAGATGTCAGCTTACTCACCCATAAATTCCTTCATAAAAGAAAGGAATATGGAACAAACAAAGCATAGATGTGGGGCTGCCCTTGAAGACAGTCCAGATACTTCAATTGGTACAAAATAGAGCTGCCAGGCTGCTGATGGGGACTGGGCGTAGTTCTCATATAACCCCAGTCCTCCGTCAGCTCCATTGGCTCCCCAGTGAAGTCCGGGCCCAATTCAAGGTGTTAGTTATCACCTACAAAGCCCTGAACGGCTTAGGCCCTGGTTACCTAAAGGAGTGCCTACGTCCATATATGCCCTCCTGCCCCCTGAGATTGGCGGCAGAGGCCCTCCTCCGAGAACCCTCCGTGAAGGACATTCAGAGGGTGAGTACTCAGAGGAGGGCTTTCTCTGCGATGGCGCCCAACCTATGGAATGTGCTCCCCAGAGAGGTCCGCCTGGCGCCGTCCTTATTTGTTTTTCGGCGCCAGGCCAAGACCTTTTTATTTAAATGCTATTTTAATTTTATTGTATATTTTTATATGCATTTGTTTGTTTTTGTTGTGAGCCGCCCCGAGGCTTTGTTGCAATGGGGGCGGCATAGAAATGTTTTAAATAAATAAATAAATAAATAAATAAATAAATAAATAAATAAAATGTTAATGGTTTATTTGACCAGGCTGGATCCACTATTCTATTTTATTTTATCTTTTGTATTTATTTATGTATGAATTTTTTGTATTTTATATGCAATTTTAATGATTGTAAGCCACCCCGAGGCTCATGCGATGAGGCAGCATATAAGTTGTTTAGATAGATAGATAGATAGCTAGATAGATAGATGTGAGTGCAAAGGAAAGATAAAGGAAAAATCCATGACAAGGTGGTCAAACTGCACCAAGGTAGGAAATGCAACTCTGTCAGGATTTACATGAGTATTTTTGGGTCTAGAATCTGGAAAGCAAGCCCCTAGCTCAAATCTTGTTTCAGTCACAAGTCCTCTAGGTTTACTGTTAACCAACTTGTTACTGTTTTAGCCTCAGCCCATCCCAAAGGATTCAGATTCACAGAGACAGACACATTTTGAGTGCACCTCAGCTTTGATCCATTGACATACTCTGCATAAATTATCATACTATTAGCTCTGATGTAAATGCAGAGCATAGCTCCTACCACACTAGCATTACAAGCAATCTAAGATAACTATAAATCCCATGAACAACCATCACAGCTTATCTTTGTTCTAGAAAAACTGAAGCATGTCTAATCTACAAAAACAAGGGCCGAACTCTACCATCATCACACAAGCTTCTCTGAAACTTAGCTTCATCAGTCCCCACTGCCCCCAAATTTTCACATCTCCAATTGATAAACTACTAAAAGTCTGGTTCATGCTCTGGTAGGGAAATTTCAGGGAGGAGGCTATTGGTGGCTACTAGCAATGTTAGCTAAATGCTCCCTATCAGAGGCAGCATGCCTGCATACGCCAGTTGCTGAGGAGCTTGGGCAGGCTGAGATTTTGTGCCCATCCTGCTGGAAGGATCCCGTGTTCACAATATGAATAAAGTGTTGGACTGGATGGACCTTTGGTTTGATCCAGCATGGCATTTCTTGTTCTTATATGCAGCCGCCCCCCACTGCTTTGCAGCATGAACACTATGCCAAACTTACCTCTCGATCGGTAATAACAGAGTCTTCAGAATCTGATGATTCTGACAAGTACTCCTCCATTTCCACGTGGAGCGTCACACACTGTGTTGTGGGATGACCAGACTCTTGACTCTGCCAAGCTGCACCAGGCAGAAAATATCAGAAATCACACTCCACATTTCGCGAAATAGGTAAAATTACTAGCTCCTGCCCACGCTTGCCAGGCCGGATACACCATTCACTTGTTACTTAAACTATTTATAGTTTTAACACAATACACGGAACATGAAGAAAATTAGCAGGTAAAGTATCCTCACAGTTACTTTTAAAGCCCGAAGAAACAGCTCCTGTCGAACGCCAACCTGTCTCCGAATTTTGCATTACAAATCCTTCGGAACAAGCTCACCCTGCATGATCCTCTACATATCTGCTGAGAAGCAATTCGTACTGTGTTCAATGCCACTGACTCCAAGATACGTGTACAAGGCGTTGCATCCCCCATCCCCATTTATTCACCTTAAGAACGACGCCGACCAGTCGCTACTCGCCAAACCACGAGGAAGGAAGGCACAGCACCTCTTCCGACTTCCGGGACTTTCCTCCCCGGAGTATTTCCGTTTCCGATCGGTCATTTTCCGTCATGCAACCAGGACGCCGTCTCCATGGCAACCAGGCTTGCAGCTGTTGTCGTCCAGCTCTTTTCTCTGGGAACCGGGGAGACCTTTTAGCGAGTGAAGTCGAGAGCGCAGCTGTGGGGAAAGTCCGGTCGCTCAGCGGCGAAGAACGGCGCGCGAAGAGGACTAGCGCCAAAGGACTTGCCAGGGACGGGACGGGACGGGACGGGGCCGACGGCGGCGCCCATCGCAGGGAGGGCCGCCAGGAGTGGGTGCCGGAGGGACTCGGAGCCGGCAAGTCAGCCTCGGACGTGTTCGTCTCCCGTTCTCTAGCGCCGTTCGCTAAATTCCAAGGGCCATGTCAGTGATTGTGGCACAAGCGCTCCACATTTTTGGATTCCAGTCTCGAGTAGCAAATAATATTTGTTTCTTCGATGAACAGATAATAGTGTATCCTGCGGGTAATAGCTGTGTGAAGTATCACATAGAGCAGAAATGGCAGAAATTCATCCCAGGTAAATGTGCCTTCTCCCTCTCCCACTTCCCAAATATCCAAAGAAGTAAGGCAATAAAAGACAGAGGAGTTCAGTTTTAGGTACAGGCAGTGAGCGCTTCCACATGAGTATTTTATCCTGATCTCACCATGCCACATTTTTTGAGGGGGTTGGGGGGTTCAAGACAACCTTGGGTTCTTTCAGACACTGCCTTTGCAATCACAGTGCTGCACTCATGGAATCTCACAGGCGGTTGTCTTACACCCAATATTTTCCTTTTGCGTTTCCCCACCATTTCTTCTGTCTTTTTGTATTATCATGGAAAATCTATTAAAGAGATCAGATAGCTACCCAATGTATTTCGATTGATAGTTCCAAGAACTCTCCATCTGGAATCACCTAGTGTCTTTTCATTAATATGTGCAAAATATTCATGCATCAGATTGATACAAAACATTATTCATAAACTTGTGATCTGATTTTTAAAACAATTTAGGTGAATAGAGATTCGGGCTCAAAATTCAAATAACATACTGAAAGTGGAAAACATGGTAAAAGCTGATTTCTACCACATAATTTCTAAATATAAAATAAAGTCTTTACATGTGTCTTTGATATTCGTGAACAAAGTTTTGCTCCTTACTATATGTCCAGGTGGAGATGAAATATGAATTATTTTAGCTTCTAGTTCCCTTCTTGCTCAAATGCTCCAAAATTCATATTGGGCTTATGTTTCTGGAGCTCAGTGTGGCAGAAGTGATTTGTAGTAAATTGGTAAGGACTTCTGACTCCCAGTTGTTTAATAATAGCACCAAAAATGATTCCCCTACCTACTCTATGTTATACTGCTAAAATGAAGAAAGTTTGGAGATATCAAGAATGGAAGGAATGTTAGTTCCATTACATTCCGGTAGTTCAAATAAATTTTTAGACTCAGAGTTCTTTAATTCTCTTTGCATACTATTTCATAGATAGATCTCAGGGTGCTCATAAAAAACAGAGTGGGTTCTGTAAGCCTGAAGTCTGTCCACCCCACTTTATAGAGACTTACCCTTTCCAAAATCAGTGACTTTCTTTGCATGTAATACTTTCTGAATTACTGTTAGTGAGCTTTAGGCTTATGTGTTTCCCCTTGCTTTCCCCACTGGTGTGATGAGATTGAAAGGCTTCCCTCCTGTTTTCAGTTGAACACTGTTTACCCTTCCATCTGATGTATTGAAACAAATCAGCTTTATGAACCATAGTCTGAAGTTGGCTTATTTCATTAAACCATAGTTAAGCCATAGTTCAGATTTGGATATAATGTTAAACTGTGGCAAATCAACAACAGAAGCAAGAGGTTCTGATGCCAAACAGAAGAAACAGTGCATTTGTACAAGGCTTATCCTCATAATGCTATGCCATAACTTGGTGTTGTATCCATGCAAGGCTAGTATCTTTGAACACTATGGCTAAAACAAGATTGAGTACTTAACAAATCAATCAAGAACTCTGTCAGGGAACCTCCTACCTCTAGCCCTTCTACAGTTATTGCAGGGATAAATTTAGGCTTTATATGCTTGTCCATGTTCTTCCTTCTCAGGTTGTTATTTATGTTTAGTATTTATAAACTGTTAAATGTTTTTTAAAAACCTACTGGTAAACAATTACAAATGTACAAATATTTAAAAATATAATATCCATAACTGTTCAAATTCAGTTTCACATGAAGTTTGTTAAGCATTTGAAAATTAGATGAAGGTAAGGTAGGAAACCATAGTAGTGGAATTTACTAGCATTTTGGTTGCAGATCATGAATTCCTAACATTGCTATGTTAAGCTCACAAAAGCTATTGTGTGTATGTGTGTGCTTTACAGGCTCAGAAAAGAGCCAAGGGATGCTTGCACTGGCAATTAGTCCAAATCGACGCTATCTGGCCATTTCAGAGGTACTGCAAGATAGACCTACAATTACAATTTATGAACTGTCATCTGTTCCATGCAAGAAGCGGAAGATCCTGAATACTTTCGATTTCCCTGTCCAAGAATTTATCAGTCTGGCTTTTTCCCCCGATTCCAAGTATTTAGTGGCACAGTCAGGACCTCCTGAATCAAATCTTGCTTATTGGATGTGGGAAAAGCAAAGAACAATGGCAATTGTTAAAGTTGATACTCAGAATAATCCTCCCTATCAGGTAAAGTATAAGAGAAGTACCCTGTGACAGGTACCTCTTCTTGGGTACATTTGTGTTAACACTAAGGCACATAGGCAAAGTAATTATCACCACTCATCATTGCCTCACATGAACAGTTGGATTTACCATTAGACATTCAAATAAGAAATACTGCCGCTGTGGAGATTGTCATAATGTGAAATCCTAGGTCTGCTATTCATATTACATACTTTCTTCATAGAGAAATTAGTCATATAGAGTCAGTATGGTGGTTAGCATGTTGGAGATCTGGGAGATCAGGGTTCTAGCCCACTCGCCTGTGAAACTCACTGGGTGATCTTGGGCCAGGCACTCATGCTCAGCTTAACCTACCTTACAGATTTACCAGGGAACTCCTTTAGTTCCTCACAAGAAAAAAAGGCAGACTATAAAAACAGTGTAATAATAATAGAAATTGCATGAATAAATGAGTACACAGGTATTGCAGATAAATAATTGTATTTAAGACGTCATTGACATTTTACTGCTCATGTAAATGTTGTGGTTCCCTGAACTTAACGCTCAACCTTACTTTCACACATTATCTATTCTAACAATGGCCTACAATTAGAGTAAGATTTCCATGTGCTGAAGCACAATTACACAGCTACAGAGCAACACAAGATTAATTTCACAGCACTTCCTGAAGTCCCAAGCTACCCTATATGTCTTTATTTTACATTTGAAATGGAGGTAATCATTGTAGCCTTTAAAGTGTGAAATATTCCCCATGGGACACTACAGTAGTTAGCCAGCTATAATGCTATGCTTGCATGATTAATACCACTCAATGAATCCTATTTTTATTATTTTTGCATATCAATTCAGATTGTTTCCACATTTGCTGTTTTCTCTGGAATTTTCATAGTTTATTCACTCTATTATGGAGGTGAGATCACTATCAAATGGTTATTACCAAATATTTTCCCAATTCTCTCTTCTTTTCAAAAATCTGCTTTTCAGAATTACAGTTTTAGTATTCCACACATACTACTGATTAATTTGCACTTCTGCCATTTCATGTCCTTCCCGCATTACAGTTACAGTAATTTTAATTCTCCCTGCTTCCTTCCATCAAGGAAGTAAGAGGAAGAAAACTTACTAATGTGGCTATACATGTAAAGGGAAGGAATATGTCAATGTCTGTCTGGCTTTTCCATCTCTCATAAAATATGGACAGTCTCAAATAAATAAAAGAAGGGGGAGTATTTCTTAATGCAGACTGAAATAGGAGTATTCATTAAAAATAACTGGCTTCTCAAGTAATTGCTTATTTTGTGATACTTCCTTTTCCAGGTGAGCTTTAATCCCCAGGATAACACTCAGGTCTGTGTTACAGGAAATGGGATTTTCAAACTTTTCAGATACACAGAAGGAACCTTAAAACAGACCAACTTCTTACGGGGAGAGCCTCAAAACTATCTGTCCCATGCTTGGCTCTCAGAAGAAAAGGTGATTGTGGGCACTGACACAGGCAAACTTTACTTATTTGACTCTGGTGATCTACGCTGGGAGACAACTATTGAGCACAAAGAAACAGTCTCTGAAGTAGCAAGGGAAGAACAAGTGCAAGAATCAGAGAGGTAAAGCAATCTTAAAACTGTTGACTTTGGAATAGTCAATGTCTGCAAGTCCTGATTAAAACTGTATCTTGGCTGTTTGTACTGGTGACCTTTGAGAAGTTATCTCTGAGATTACAGTCCTGTGTACACTTACCTGAAAATCAGCCTATTGAATTGAGTCTTACTTCTGAGTAGACATATCCAGTATTGTTCTGTTAGTCTTGGCTATATTGTAAAATGGAATTAAGAATACTCTGCCTCATATGCAAGGGGATTGAACAATGAACAACCAAACTCTCTACAATACATTTTAAAAGTCTGTATGAATAGAGTGTTCCTGAAATATTTGCTTCCAGGAAGTATGTTTAAGATTGGTGTGTTAGTATCTTGCTTTAAGAGTTTCACCCTTAAAGTCGGATATGTTTAAAGATAATGTGTTAATACTAGAACTTCTCCAACATTAAAAATAAGTCGAGAATAAACACAATTATTTTTATACAGTACATAACTGACATATGAAATTTCTGTTTTCTGTGTTTACTAATAGATTGACTAACAATTTCTTTTTAAAGCCTGGTTGAGTTTCCTGTTACCAGTTCCCCTGCATTCTCTAGTGAGGCAGTCTGTGTTACTGAAACACAGCAGCAAATGTCTCTACCCCAAATCTCTGCTATTGCTGCATATTCAAAAGGATTTGCTTGCTCAGCTGGTCCAGGGCTTGTTCTACTATTTGAGAAGTCAGAGGAAAAAGAAGGTTATAGAGAATGCAGACAAATACGGGTAGGTAAGAGGTCTGTGACATACAATGCTTGACTTTACTATGTTGAATCAATCAATTTCCTTGTGCTAGTATGAATCAATTTCAGATTGCAATATTTAGCAAAAATGATCCTCCAGAAGAGACTAAAACTGAAAGGGATGCTACAGTAACCAGCATCCAGATATATATCGTTTTCTGCTAAACCAAACTTGGAAGTAAAAGTGCTGCTTTCTTCCAGCAAAAGCCAGTTGATTACAGCGTTGCTTTCCTGATAACTCTTACAGCATAAATCTACCTATCCCCACTTCTATGGAAAAACATTGTTTTAAATGTTTGGGTTTTTTATCTGTACATTTTGCTCACTTTCATTTACCAAATGGTATTAACAAAGGAGCCAGTACTGGAAGAGTTTAGGATATGAATTCTGCCCCCATGTTGCTCATCTTTAGCATCTGGTGGGAATCCACCATCATAACATGTATACCTGGTAATACCCTGGTATGGCATTCATAGCAGAGGCATATCTCTGAGACACTAGCAACAAGGAAGTGACACCAGGTTTCAGATCATGCCAGCCAGCGTGGATTTAGCATAGGATTGCACTATTAAAGGTGAAAACCTTAATCAGTGTAATCTTGCTTTCATTGTCCATGGAAGGATATTTAGCACTCATCAGTACTGGGATAGAAAAGTGTGTGGGAAAGAATCTAACTAGGCCAGTTTCTTTCATAGATTCCACAAGACCAGTGCAGCAGTGATCCAAACCAGTCAGACAAACAGGAAATTGTATGTATTGCCTTCAGCCCTACTGAGGAGACACTGCTAATTAGCACAAATAAAAATCAGCTCTATTTCCTCTCTATGTCATCAGCTGAGATTACCAAGGTGAGTTCATTCTGACCACTGTGTTCTGAGTAATGACAGGGACTTACACATTTGTGTATTCAGAGGAATGTTATATTCCTGCAATGCAAAACAAACAAGTAGAAATTTTATAGTATTGCTACATCAAATTAAGCAGGGACACCAACAAATTTTGAAGCCAGAATTGGTAACATAAAGAAGGAAAGACATATAGTATAGTTCCTGTAGTAATCACATTATCATCACTGGATATCTCATCTAGCAATTGCACATATAAAGGAGCAGTCACTGTGTAGCAATATAATGACCTAGACTGTATGAATTACAGCAGTTGGACCATTTGTTAGATCTTTCCTCCAAATCAGGGCCAGTTAGGATTTCTGGGTTTAGAACTTTGCAGGGTCAGAAAACCATTTTTGTCATTTTAGCTCTCCGTGGGCCATTCTGGTATACTGTGCACTCTAATGAACTGTCAGAAAAAAATGATGATTTGACATCAAAATTCAGTTGCAAATGACTGTGGAGCATAAAAGGGTCCCATTTCACTTGAGGACATACTAAATTGGACACATTTAGCATTTCATTTTGGCTACAAAATGCTAGAAGAGCCAAATTTAGTTGAGAGAGTTTTATACCTGGAGGTGGCCTAAAAATAATTAAAAATGGAATAATTAAGTGTTTCATAGTGTGAAAATTACACTAAAATTTAAAAGCAGAAGTCACACCTGCAGAGAGTAATGGAGCTGCATACTGCTCACATGTTGTCTATACCTAGTATACAGATTGGCAGGCCTCCTGCTGCAAATCCTTTTACTTTAATGCTCTAGTGCAGCAATTAACAGTGTTGCACAAGGAACCGAGAAACATGAATTCGGTTTTGCTTATATTAGATGTGCCATCCCAGATAAAGTACCTGTTTACAGTTGGTGTTTTCGAAAACACTGGGAATGTGGAATTGGAAATCCTAAAAAAAAACCAGTTTGAGGGGTAGATTAATTTTTGTATATGTGTAAGTGATAACTCTTACAACTTTTACTATGGTTGCTAGTCAGGTTTACAAGAGCTGTGCATGCTCTTGATAGTATTTCCTGTGCTTTGATAAATCAAGTGCATATTCAATGCTTTCCTTCATGCCATAGAGTGGTGACTGGTTTGCGTTAGGCAGTCATATGAGCTTTTCTAGCTAACTCTTATATCTCACTAGGGGGAGGCAGCTCACTTTGAATACCTGAATTATCCAATACATTCTTCTTCTGTTACTGGCTTGGATACCTGCATTCGTAAGCCCCTTGTTGCTACCTGTTCACTGGACAAATCTGTCCGCATCTGGAACTACGAAACCAAGTAAGGGGGCATATTCTTTCCTCTATACTGCCCTTTTATTCATACATGTGAGGACCAATTTACCAAATGTACAACTATAGAAATACTATAAGTATTGGCCCTATTCCAATAAATTAAAACTGATGATGGTTCTGGAAATGAAACAGTGCACCAAGGTTCAGATATATTATTGTAGTTTATCATAAGATTGCTGTGTATGTAGCAGAAATATAAGCAGTAGTTCTATATGCCCCCCAAATCTATATGGTATTTGGAGCAGTTAAATTTTAAAAGCCTATTGACCCATTCCTTGTATCATCGTTAGATAAGGATCACAAAATGTTCTTGTTTCTGATCATGACAGAGAATATAAAAGGAATATTCCAAGCTATATTTGGCCACTGTTATGCTTACATAAGGCAATGGAAATAGATATTTATGGGATCCTCTTTCATTTTTGGTTTCAACAAATTATTACATAGGCGAGTGACATTAGGTTGGATCTAGACTTTTATCCTGCCTTTATAGCCTTCCCTCATTCACACACCCTACTCATACTTTTCAATATTTCTTATGAAGGATTGGGGATTTTCCAGGGCCAATTTTCAGAAGGAAAGGAAAAAGTGGAAAGGGGAAAGTGACAAAAGTTGCTTCCCCATACCCCCACCCCACCTCTGCCTCCTCTCACTAGATCAGGTATCTTCTGTTCATGGATTATAGAGATTAGATTCAACCATATATCTTTGCAGATGTTCATGTCATCTCAAATCATTGTTTCCAGTGAACAAATGAAGGAATAATAGCTGGGGAAATCAAATGTAGCTGAATCTGGAACTATAGATTTTCTTGCTTATCTCTTATCTCTGTAACCAACACAATAGGCATCAAAGCAATGAAGGATGTAAAGTATCCAAAGAACCCTGAGAAAATAGCCATACTGTAAAAGGCATGAGTTCTGTGCAATGATGATATTGCACTAGTTGCAGTTTCCTCACTACCACTTTCTGCAGCATTTCATGACATAACTAGTCTGGAGGAGTTTCCAGTCCTCAGGAGTATCTTTTGAGGCAGGGGATGATGCAGTTGTTAGGGTGGGATCAGCAAAAATTGACTGCCTTACCTTGTTCAAATAGAAGTGTTTTCCACTAGCACATAGGTATGATTAGATAAAACCCAATGTCCTCTAACTTGAGGGTAACTTTTCTACAGGGAGCTGGAGTATTTCAGGGTGGTGGCAGTGTTGTTGTTATTTTGAAAAGAATGATACAAATGGTCTCAGATTTCTCATCATAGAAAAACATCCATTGTCTATGTTACTCAGCTGGCCCTGTAACAAGGTTTGTCATCACTTTACTCCTAAAACATTGAGATAAAAATCACCTGGTGTTAGGTATCTAAATTTTTGGGTGGAGGGAAGATAAAGAAATTGAAATTAATGGCCTGCTTGCTTACTAAATGATTCTCAGCGAGTTCAAAAAGGTGTGAGTTGTGCATGCATGCAATACAACCCTGTCTAGAAAGATATTTGAGGCAGTTTACAGACTCAGTGGGGAAGAAGATAGTTAAGGCAGAGATGCCAGTCTTCAAGCATCTGAACTAGAACATGAACTTTTAAAATTAGCACACTTGGCAACTTGACAAATATTCTGTGTCAGATACCATAGCATTATCAGATATATGGAATCTGTTTTTAAAATTTGATAAAATTTATCCAAAATTGTTATTGCAACATTTTAAGTGAGCCAACTGGCTAAGTGTAAATACAACCCCCTACCCACAGAGCACCATATATAGAGCATAGGGGAAAGGATGCATCCAGTGTTAATCAGTCTAACACCTACATTTAGTTGTTTGATACCATGAACTCTCTTGTCAAATGAATATTGTTCTTATATGTCATCAAGTTACCTCTGACTTAAGCCAACCCCATGAATGAATACCCTTCAAAATTTCTTGTCCTTGATAGCCCTGCTCAGCTTTTTAATATTAAAGATTGTGGCTTCCTTTATGGAATGATCTACTTCATCCTTGGATCCAACTTTCCTTATATTTTCTACATACTGATTGTACAGATAAGGATATAACATTCATCCTTGCTTGGTGCCTTTGCCTATAGGAGCCTATTTTATTTCTCCTCATTCTACCTAATAGTAGTTTCTTATCCACAATAAGAGTTACACATCAAGATGATCAAATGCTGAGGTACAACTTTTATTTTAGGACCATCCTTAGCTTTTCTTGATCCACACAGTCAAAGGCTTATAGTTTATAGTTTATAAAGCATAGTCTGATCTTTTGAAATGTTTTGGTGTACATTTGGTCTGAATTTCCCTTTGATTTCTTGGCTCTTCTGACAGAGATCTCTGCTTTTTTCTCTTTTGTTGTTCTCTTCTATTTCTTTGTACTGGCCAATGTACTAGATCTTTCTGCCTCTATGTGATAGTCACTGAAAAGTTGCAGTCAGGATTCTGACTCTATTTCTGTCACCTTTTGCTGCTTTCTTGCCCTTAGTAATTCTGAGCATTTCTTCTGTCATGCATCTAGAATCTCCCCACAAAACCTTTTTTTTCCAGTCTGCTAAAGGAATTGTATTTTGCATTCTTCCCTGTTGTGTCTGGCTTCAGTTCACAATTCTTCTGGTTCATAATCTATCGAAGTCAGTAATGCAAATCTGTTCTTTATGTGGACTTCAAATTCCTCAGAAATGTTACTTAAGTTGAATTTGGGTGCTATGATTTTGTTAGTGATCTTTTTCAGTTTTGCTCTGAATTTTGATATTAATAGTTCATGGGTGTACACTACCACAATCTGCGCCTGGCTGTGAGAATTCAGCTTCCACATCTTCTACTTTCAAAAGCAGTCTTTGATTTCTGTGTTGGCCATCTGGTTATACCCATGTGTACAGTTATCTGTCAGGCTGGTTGACTTCACAGAATTCTATGTATCATTCTCCTGATTCATTTCTGACCGCTAGGCCAAGTTCTACAGCACTGGATTCAGCTTTGTGTTTTACTTAAGGGTTCCAGTCACCTATGATTATCAGAATGTCTTGTTTTGTTGTGCTATCAATTTCCTCTTTGATGCTTGCACAGCAGTTTTCAATTTCATCTTTATCATCTGATGTTAAATAATCTGCATCAATATTAACTACTGTAATTTTTTTCTGCTCTGTTTGAATGCATTGAATTGGACAGGTAAGTCTTAGACGCTGCAGTGTTGTCCCTTGCTTCGTTTTGTGGTCTGTTTCACAGCATAGAGAACGTTTAGACAAAGCATGGCCAAGAACAGTGCTAGTTGCAACAGTATTGTTGCAAAGAAGTATGTGCTGGGCATTTACCTCCATGACTGTTCTCACTTCAGCACACTGGACCTCTATAAGGAGTACCAAGAAGAGGCATATGCACTTTCCCTTCACCCTAGTGGCTTGTATGTTTTGGTTGGTTTTGCTGACAAACTCCGACTTATGAATGTTCTTATTGATGACATCCGTGCTTTCAAAGACTTCACTGTACGAGGATGCAGAGAGGTAAGAACAGCAGAGAAGGGAACTGCTAGAGGAATTTAAATCGGGAAACACCAGAAGGAGTAACTATACAAAAATATTTTGTGAGCATATTGAAAGATTCCATCATCAGGGAGGAAGAGGAGAATTTTGTGACATGGGTGCGGCATAGGAGGTTGTGTCACCAACTTACTTAAGGACAAGTATCTGTGTACATGTTTGTAGACTGCTTCTCTATATGCAGGGAGTCACCACTTGCAAAATACAAATTACTAGGAAAAAATTAGCTTACCTGTGCTGGGGAACACCTTTCTGCTGGGATTCTGACTGCTCTCTGTCTTGCAGAGCTGGCAAATTTTCTCAATATGTAAGAGCATTGTAATTCTAGTAATGTCAATTTCCAGCCTAGGTAGCGGCGCACATATGAGGTAAGGGAGCAAAGGACATGAGATTAGAGGTTTTCTAGGAATTGAGTTTTATTGAGAAAGTAAGCAAAATTGCAATTTTGCAGTTAGATAATGAAAGATGTCCCAAAAAGGAAGAGGAGAGACGGAAATGAGAAATGATGAGGTTAACTTGAGGTTACATCAATGATGAGGTTACAACATTCAGTGGAAAAGGAGAGCAAATTGCAGAGGGGATTAAAAGCTATCAAAACAGAAGAAAGTTATGTATTTTTCTTGTTTTAAGTCTGAAACATGGAGTAGGTAAGAGGGTCCTTAGTGTCAGAATAAAACCAAAAAGAGGCTTCCCTCAGTAATGACAAGGCTCTCCCAGATGGAGTCCACTGGATGTGAGAATTCACAAAAGTAGCACTCAACCCAGGAAGCCAGGGTCAGTCAGACAAAGTTTATCCCAAGACCATTTCTGAAATCATCTGCAGTTCAAAAATTAAATGTCCTGTGGTAGAAGATAGCCTTAACCTGGTGCCAAAAAAATTAAAGTTGGTGCCAGGTGGGCCTCGGTGCAGAGCTTGTTCCATAACAGGGAGGACACCACTGAAAAGGCCCTTCTCCTTGTTGCCATCAGCTGAGCCTCCCTTGGAGATGGCATCAGAGGCAGGCCCCAAATCTTGATTGCAGTGTCCTGGTAGATGGTAGTCAGGCTTTTCGTACATCAGGTCCTGTGGTCCCAAGCCATGTAGGGTTTAATCATTTAAAATCGGCACCTTGGATTTAGAACCAGATAGTCAGCCAATACAAGCAGGCCAAAATTGGTGTTATGGTCAGACTGTCTTGTCTCTGTTATTACTATTATTGCATTACATTACTTTTCATTACATTTCTATACTCCCCATAGCTGAAGATGTCTGGGCAGTTCACAACATTTAAGTCATCCATCCAGATTTCAACCAGATTAGACCCTGCTTAGTTTCCAAGTTTAGTCAGGATCAGGCACTTCATGCTGACTGCTGCATTTTACAGAAGCTGCAGCTTCTGGACAGTCTTTAAGGGCAGTTCCACACAGCACATTGCAGTAATATAGTTTAGAGAGAGTCTGATTTCAATAAACTACTGTGGTAATCTCTGTCATGGTAGGGACATCACTGGGCCACCCACTGAAGCTGGTGGAAGGCACTCTGTGCCTCTGAAGCCAGCTGGGTCTGGTCTCAAGTGACCCAGATGGCTCAAGGAGCACCCCCAAACTAGGAACCTGCTCCTTCAAGGGAAGTGCTTCCCTGTCTAGAACAGCTTGAATCCCCTCCATCTGATCAGAAAAAAACTAACTGCATCTCAGTCTTGTCTGGATTGAGCTTCAGTTTGTTAGATGTCATCCAGTCCATTGTTGTAGCCAGACACTGGTTGAGTACATCCACACCTCACCTGTTGAAAATGAAAAAGAGAAATAGAGTTGTGTGTCATCAGCATACTAAGAACAATGCACTCTAAAACTATGAATGAACCCACTCACCAGTTTTATGTAGATGTTAAATAGCCTGGGACACAAGACCAACCCCATGCTGCTCTGGGTCATTTATGGTAACTATTGATTCTCATTTTTCGGTATTTTTCCTGTTTTTCTCTACAGTGTGCATTTAGTACAGGTGGTCATCTGTTTGCAGCAGTAAATGGAAATGTGATTCACATTTACTCCACCACAAGTTTTGACAATGTCATTAATCTGAAAGGACACAATGGGAAGGTCAGTAAGTGAATGTGACAATACAGTTAAAAGTGTAAGTTAAACAGAATGTCTGCCATTAGAAAAAACAAGATATCTCAAATTTTGGAGATCTGGGAATGGCTAAATCATCTTCTTTATTAGAAATCAGTTAGAAGCTGAATAATAAAAGTGTGCAGGTCTTACCCTTGTTATTACAAAAAGTGCTCTGGCCATTCCTCTCTGTTAGTGAAATATAATTTGAGCCATTCTTCACAAAGGAATCAGTTATTCAGGTTTCTTATCTATTATGTGCAATAGTTTTCATTAACATAAACTGAAAATATAATCTAGCCAAAGCAAATCACTGTTATCATTGCACTCCTTTACACACACAACTGCGATTTTGGGTTAATTTGCTGACCACAAATGAGAGCAAGGTTCAACAGTCCATGAGGTTATTAGGTTGTTGACATGCTTGCCCATTCCCACTTGTGTCCTTTAATTCATGGATTAATTAAACAATTTTCTGTTGCATGCAAACTGGACCCGTGAGTCCTCCTCCTGAGTTGCCATGCATAGAATTTGAATTCAACAGTATTACTGTGTGCTTTATTTTTTCTTACTAAAGTTTAAAAGTGCTTACCTTTGACTGTGTTGTAGATACCATGCTATCTACTACATTTTGGTATTGATTTCATTTTGTCATATCCTACCTGGAAGGGGATTCTTCAGATGAAGAGAGCCAGTACAGTGGGCCCCAGCTACAATCAGACACAGGGGTTGAGGCTGTAGCTCACTGCCCTCCATTGGAGGAGCAGCCAAGTCCCTCTTAAGCAGTCCCAGGAGTTACTCAAGAGCAAGAACCAAAGTCAGAGGGATTTTACCCCTTAGAGAGAAGGAGCTCATGGCACCAGCAGAAGTGCACACAGTTGGCTGAGTGTGGAGCCTTCAAATGAAACAGCACACTGACCTAATTAGTCAGCTGTGCTGATTTATAGCTGGCTATAAATTAGATCGGCTAGAGCTTGTTCATTGTGGCAAACGGCAAGAGTTGTTGGCATTCTCTGGCTTCATTAAGGACTATTCGGATATCTAGACTTTTGGCTTGCTTCCTGGACATTTTTTCAGACAACCCCCACTTGACACTTTGGAGACACGCAAACCATATGGCCTTGATTTGTGGGCTGAACCTGACTGATCTTTGAAAGGTAACACAAGGACTTGGTGTTTGTGGGCACAGAACTGAACACATATCAGTAATGTGCCAGATGATTACAAACTGTGTGGGATATTCCTTCCAAGATCCTAAGCTGTGATTAACTCTATCACTTCCTAATATCAACTCAAGAGAGATTTCAGTTCTCCTAAATTTAGGAACTCTGACCCAAACAGTTCTAGGGAAAGAAGATTCTTCCTGAGCATTTGCCCTTCCTGTTTCAGTGTCCCAGGGATCAGAAATAGGCAAATCGCAATCCCCTGAGCCCTTTTGAAACTTACCTGTAGGTTTCATCAGGTTGTAACCATTACAATTCAGTGCCCTGTATCTTACTAATACAGGGCTTTTAGTCAAAGTTTTAGTGAAAGATGCTGGAATCTTGCTAAGGAAGGCAAAGCTGCTATCTATGATGAAATGACATCATTAGATAAAAGTGAAGGGTTGTTACCAGAATAAAACAGCTTTGTAACAGTCATTCACCTTCATAAGAATTGCCTCCAAGCAATGTGAAGAGATTTTTTTCCTTTAGAATTTGATAGCATAATTAGTATAATTCCAGTGGTTAAACAATGTTTTTGAAAATGCATAAAGTTAGCCCTCTTAAAGAGAAAACACTGAAAATAAACTAAAAGTACTAACAGGTATTAGTATAAGTTATCAAATTAAAACATAGAGGATGAAGAATTGCTGGAAAATAGCAATTTTATTAAGCCATTTGTTTAAAAGACCACTGGAACTTGAGAAAGAACAAATCTTAGAAGAAAGTTGGGCAATTGCAAGCTGCAAGTCCATCCTTTCCACTGGATAGTTCTTGAGATATGTCTGAAGCCTAGATGTTATAGCTGCCATTACTTTGTTGTTGGTATATAAAAATAATTCCTGCTCCCCTTAGCTAGATCAGCTATTATGAAAGTGCTTATTCTAGCTGCTTAAAAGCAAACTGTAAGCACAAATGACTAAAGTACAGAAGGGACTGTGTTCTGTGAGTCTTTTAGTAAAGAATTTGGATATAATTGCACTATAACATTATTAAGTTGCTCTTGTGACTAATCAGTGATTGCCTTGGCATCATACATCTTCCCCACTACCCAGGTGCGCTCAATGGTGTGGAGCATGGATGACTATAAACTGGTTTCCTGTGGCACAGATGGAGCAGTATATGAATGGAACCTCCAGAATGGCAAGAGAGAATCCGAGTGTGTACTCAAATCCTGTAGCTACAGTGGAGTGGCAATATCACCTGATGCAAAAGTTGTCTTTGCTGTTGGATCCGATCATAGTATCAAGGAGATATGTGATTCTTCGGTGAGCTCATACATATTCATCTATGGGCATGCAATATTGTAGAAAGGAGAGCTAAGGGTTACTAAAGGCAAAGTTGTGGCTTCCAACATCCACCTGGATTTTTCAGCAATTGAGATTGTCTGTTTGTTTCACTTTGTTATTTTCATTAGCTTCATTTTCTTCTCTGTGACAGTGTTGCCAGGAATCTGCACATTTGGGTCAACCTTGCTAATGAACCCTAATACTGTGGTTTCCTTCATAACTCCAAGATTGGGTAGGAAGTCCAGGGCTCCTCACGCTTAGGATAGCAGGACATTCACTATAGTGAATGTGGTCATTGTTGGTGGAACAATGAATCCCTCACCACTTTCTAGTTCAGAATTAATGCTTGCTCTGTAGTTTGATTCATATGAAAACAATGCCAACACCATAGACCTTGTTGGATGTCCTGTCTTTCAGATACTACGAGAAGTGCCTACTTTTGATGTTGCCTACACCTGTATAGTAGTAGCTCGCTCTGGGCGCATGGTTTTCACTGGAACCTCCACAGGGACCATCCGAGCTATGAAATACCCACTGCCTGTACACAAGGAATTCAATGAGTATCAAGCCCATGCTGGACCAGTCACCAAGGTAAAGGCCAAAATGTATTGCCATCAGTTTCCAAGTCACCTTGATTGCCCTAGCCTTTTTATATCTCTTCTGTTTCTAAATCTACAAGAGCTAATGACACAGGGGTGTATAATGTATTACTAGATGAGCCAGAAGTGGCCACTCAGTCTTATCTAAATATATGTATATTATATATCCAGGTTACTTAAAGCCAACATCATATATTCCAGCAGTAGTGAGCAGTGAGAATGAGTTCCACCTAATGTCTAAGCAATACCCTTAAGACTGCTATCTAGATTGAGCTCACTTGCCAGGAGAATGCAGAGACGATCTCTTTGAGTAACTAGTTTCAAGTGAGTAACTAGTTTCTTTGAGGCTAGACCACAACAGTTCCAATAAAGTCCATAGTAACTTTTGGGAAGTGGCTTTTTCAGTTGGAGAACTTGTTTACTGCTGATACCTCCTTCATAATAATGGGTGGGAGGCTGTGAGAACATGTGCATGCATTTTGAATAGCATAAGCTTTTTAGTATTGTTTGTAAAATTGGCATGCTGTGGTACTTCCATTAGAAAAACAAAACTAGGGGAGAATTCAGAGACTGATTAGGAAAAGGAATAGTAAGGAATTCAAGAAATGCTTGAAATGGATATTGGAGGAGGTAAAGCTAACTGAAGGGATGAACTTGAGCATAACAGAACTGGGAATGTGAAAATGGGACCTAGCATTTTCAGAATATGCCATTCCCAACCAGGCTGTTCAGATTTGGATTATGAGTTAAACGGAGTAGAAGGAGAGGAGTAGGAGGGTGACTCTGAAAACTCAAGTTTATAAGAAGTGAGATTAGTCAGACAGCTATTCAAAAACAAACCATCTTTGGCACAGAGTATGGGGGAGACCATAGAACAGAAAGTCAGTATCGGGCTTTGTCCAGAAACAGCTGCCCTGCACAATCTGTACCATACTATGTACTGCAGGTTGACTGTATATTTCCACAGCAGGATTGAGGCTGATAAATATCTCCTGGGGATTTGGAATGATGTTAGTACTGGAACAGCCTATTCTGGTTCCAGTTTCAGAGGTACAACATACTTTGTTACCCCTCTTTATGATATATTATTGTGAAAAAGCTACATAAGGGGAAACACAACTTTATTCACTAAGTGCAACATTATACATTTGAAATTGTATAAGTATGTACTCTTAGCATTGGATGTTGCTAATTAAGTCAGCTGTGGTTATTTCTAAATGGGCAAAATATTTTTCATTATTTTCATTTTATTTTTTTTATTTTCATTTTTTTCATTTAATTTTATTTTCATTCATTTCATTCATTCATTTCATTCATTCATTTCATTCATTTTATTTCATTTCATTTTCATTTCATTTTATTTTCATTTTTTTATTTTTCATATTTTTTATTTTCATTCATTATTTTCATTTTTCATTATTTTCATGGACTGTCTAATACAACTATCACCCCATTATCTGCACATGTTTCCCCTTTTTAGTCTGATTGTCACTAGAGGTAAATGCCTATAGAGATGAAGTGTGGTCCATACATTGAACAATGTATGGACTACACACTGAACATAGCATATGAAGCTATGTTCAACTTTCATAAATATTGCTGAAAGCAACACAAACAGTTGGCTGGGTAATCTATTTCTAATTCTTTGTAAAGCTGATTACCTGCACCCTCTCATATACTGGATGAAGCAGGAACGCTGATCTTGAATTAGCCTGCATGTCTGCATGCTTTGAAAAAGTATAGGAGACCCCACCCCCTCCAAACAAAAGGTAGAAATGTGAAAAGATCAACCCTTCTTTCTTCTGTATTTCTAAGATAATTTGTGAAAAGCAAATGTGGTGAGATGTATGAGTATTCCTCACATCCAGAGCTCACACTTCTCGTCACAAGTGTGATGTACAAGTTCTCCTTTCACATCTTGTCCTGAAAGTGCAAGAGGCAGCTTGATGGTTCCTGTGTGTAGCTGTAATAGGCAAAGGCATTCTCAGAGGGAAGAAAGTCAGTGGGCAGTGATCAGCCTACATACAGTCTATCATATATTTTATTTAATTTCTATACCACTCAACAAATGAAGTTTTCTATACACTATCATATACTATATGATAAGTTAATCCAGTGATGAAAATCCCTGCTGATTCCGCTCACTGCCTTTCCTTTCCCTGACTCAGTGTTTTCTCAGAATTCACTGTGCATTTTTACCCCCTCCCCAGATGTCTATAACTGCGGATGACCAGTTCCTGCTAACGTCCGCAGAGGATGGTTGTATAATTATCTGGAAAGTGTATGATAAAGAGGGACGAGGGCTGAAAAGGGAGAGAGAGGTGCCTTATTCTGATGAAGTGTTGATCACTAGAACAGACATGGAAGAAAAGGTCAGTATATAACTTCAATTACTGCTTTGGGAATTCCCATATGAGATTCCAAGTGGAAAAAGAGAAACTGACACCAAAGTGTTAGCACCACTGATCCAGTATGAACCATGGCCCTGAGTGTTACCGCAAATTTAGAATGAAACGTATAGTGTAAGATTTGAGCATCATATCTCAACTCAAGATAAGAAAACTTAGCTTCTGAGTCACATTGCTTCATATTTGCGACAGCTGCTTCACAAGTTATAGCAAATGCATATTGGTTTTTACATGTGCTTCTATGGGTTGTCCAGAAACATACATGCACTGCCTTGACACATGATAATGTTTCAGGTGCTCATAAAATATTGTATGTGTATTTTTAATGATTTAGGCTGCACTTCAGTATTCATGTAACTGGCAGCTACTGAGCTCAATAGAACTTATTTCTAAATAAACTTGCTTAGGATTTCACTACTAACGTTTGAAGCAACCCCAAGATACAGTTTTGGCAAGTTATCTTCACAAGAGCTTTTTGAAAATGTCTTCCTGAAAGTTTGCCACTGACTTATTTTGCAAATGCTCTTATAATCCTTTACCTGCAGACTCAGATCATGATAGAGCTTAAAACACGTGTAGAGGAGCTGAAGATGGAAAATGAGTACCAACTACGTCTTAAAGACATGAATTATAATGAAAAGATTAAGGAATTAACTGAGAAATTTATCCAGGAAATGGAATCACTGAAAACAAAAAACCAGGTATGTGTCAAACAGCAATTGCATCTCTCAGCATATCTGAATTTCCCTTTAATAAGCCTCTTAATTTTCAGCAAGTAATAAGATGAAGAAGGCCAGTATTCTTATGTTCAGATGAAATTTTCATCTTTATTTCAGGTTTTGAAAACTCAGAAGGAAAAACAGGAACTGCAGCACCAGGAACAAGTTTCAGACCTAATAGAGAAGCAGTCAAGAGAAGTGCAAGACCTAGGTTAGGAAGACATTGAATAGCAATTGTCTAAAGAACATGAGAAAGGGCTTTAATCTTCATAACAAAACATGAAGGATAAACTGTTTTTATAAACATCTTTTGACAGAACCACATGTTGTCTATCATGCTAAGAGGGTAACTGTGGGGTCTGAGTTTAAGTAGAGATTTAAAGAATAATATTCTTGAATGTATCTAATTTGGTTTATTGTTCATTACAATTATATATGCCCGCCAACAAGCAGGGAGAAATGAAAACCTAATGAAGAAAGATGCAAATCAATACATTTGTTCAGTGCCATCAAGTCATCTTCAATCTATGGTGACCTTATGAATGTAAGCCCCCCATGGAGTGCCCTCCACGGCAGCTCCATTCAGCTCTTCTAAGTTCAAGGCTGTGGCTTCCTTAATGAATTCGGCCTGTCTCATATTTGGTCTTCCCTTTTGTCTTTGGCCTTTGTCTTTCCCTAGCACAATCGTTTTCTCAGTGAGTCATGTCTCGTCTTGATGTATCTGAAGTATGGCACCTCGGTTTTGTCACCTTTGCTTCTAGGGAATGCTCTGGCTTGATTTCATCTAGAACCCATTTGTTTGTCTTTCTGTTGGTCCAGGGTCTTCCCAATTAATAGAGAGGCATGGTAATACAGTTGGATTTTGAAGATGGGTGACAGTTTATTCAAAGTATGCTGCCCTTGCAAGTCACAAAGGACCAAGGGTTTGCTCTGCACTCTTTCCCTGTTCATCTTTATATTAAGGGTGTTACAGAGACAGCACAGGTGGTGCAGTCTATAACATCCTTCTATCTTCATAGGATTCTTCTGAATATCTGCTTTTTTGAGGGGTGTGTGAATTTATCTCCCATGTATCTGATTTTATCACTCAAATGTCAAAACTATTGAGTCTGAAATTCTTGTGCAGAGATTTCTATAAAGGTCACACAAGGAGTCTCAAAGTCAGCAGTGATCTGTGAATAGTATGAGCTGAAGTCAAGTGATGGGAACTTCTCAAGGGCAAGCACCTACAGATGTGGGTCCAAAAATGCTCCTTCGTGGTTAATTTGAAGACTGAAGAGTACCCATAGAGGACAAGGCACAGCTTACCAATCTCTGCTGCATTCTCTCTTTACTGCTGTGGTCAGAATCTGGCAACAATCAGAAGCTTCTGCTGGAGTATGAGAAATACCAGGAGCTGCAAATGAAATCCCAACGCATGCAGGAGGAGTATGAGAAGCAGATTCATGAAATGGAAGAGAATAAAAGCCAGGCACTGGAGGAGCTGACAGAATATTATGAGGCAAAGCTGCTTGAGAAGAGCACTATGCTGGAAGAGGTAGGAGCTGGATACTTAATTGTAAAAACAGGTCTAAATCAGTGGCAGCAGATCTCTCTCTCTCTCTGTGTAAGCCCAATTCTTAGTTATTTACTCATCACTGGATATACGAATCAATGAAGACAGAACCTTCTGCTTGTGAAGGCTTCTGTCTGTGAGAATGTGAGACAGTGAGCATGCAGGTGAAACAACCCACCCCCTATCCTTGAAGTTAGTACTGACTCTACATGTTATCACTCTGCTGCCTTCCACTGACTCTGTTCTGAAGTTGAACACCTCTCAGTGTACACTCCTGGCTGTGTTCATCGGATTGGATGACCCTGTCCTATCCCAACCTCAGAACATCTAGTCTTTTGTACACCACCTTGTTGGTTGTTAATACATATATTGTTAGGATTGCTACTAATCACCACCATTTAATGTGTGCTTACAGATCACACTTTCTGTGGTCAGGCTGGCCTGGTTCAGGCTTCAAGCTCCTAGAATTTCATTAGTTTACACAGGATGATGCTTTTCATACTATTAGAGTGTGAGCATTGTGGTGGGCATTTCACAACTGCAGAGAGGCTAGGTCAAAGTACTTTTCAGTTGCCTTTCCTAAATGATATGGCACCCTGCAGATGAAAATATCCATCGTAGTTATTCATCCAGCCATGCTAGTGTGTTCTTTATGGCTACAGAGAGTGACAACTTTGGTATCTCTAGAAGCTACTTCGTGACTAAGCTAGTCAAGGATTTTGCCTCTTCCAGGCAATCCCTCATATTTCACTCTGATCTTAAACAATGTTCAGACTCTTTTTGTACCTTCCTGGCATTTTGTTCTTCCTAATTTTAGGCTCAGGATGATTTAAGACAGCAACTTCGTGAGTCTGAAGAAACTAAGAAACAAATTGAAGAAGATGAAGATAGAGAAATACAAGACATCAAAATCAAGTATGAGAGGCGGCTTCGGGAGGAAAGAGAATCCAATTTACGGCTAAAGGGGGAGACAGGAATTATGAGAAAGAAGGTATGCTTTGGTTTTTCAAGTTTTTATGCTTTTGGTTTGTATGTGATCATTTGTTAGAGCAGTACCTCTCTAAAAGGAGCTGGAAAAGTCCAGTTTATTATAGTTTTGATTGGTTCAATTCTTACATTGCTGAATGAGATACTGGTTCACTGTCTCTAGTTAGGCAGATAATGCATGCTTTTCTTGCTAGTTCAATAGTCTCCAGAAAGAGATTGAAGAGCGCTGTAGTGATATAGAAGCAATGAAATTGGAGCAGCAAAAGTTGCAAGGAGTCATTAAGGCCTTAGAAAAAGACATTCAAGGACTGAAGAGAGAGATTCAAGAAAGAGATGAGACTATTCAAGACAAGGTAAGGTGTCTGGAAGATTTGTTCTGTTTTCTCCTTGGTTTCCCTTTTCACCCCACTTTCCCCAGATGAATTTAGGTGTTCAAATCTCTAACTGGCAGAAAAGAACTGACTCTCTAAGGCCTATTTGATTGCTTCCTTGCCTGAGAGACATAACTAGAGTTCTCCGAGATCTCTGACTAGGCTTGTAATCAGGGGGGAGCTGGCGGTTTCTGCCCCCCAGGTTATTTTTCAAACAACAAAAGGCAGGATACAATACCAGATGGATTCTCTTTTACTTTCTGGCAGACCCTCATGAACTTAGGCTGTCTGATTCCACCTTCCTTCCTCAGTGTCATTACTGCACACCATCATTTTGACTCCCATTATCCCTCTGTGATGAATTTGCACAGTCAAATCTCATGTATCAGCTGCATTCATTCCTTGAGCTGTCTGATTTGGCCATGGTGACTAAAGTATGTGGACATGGTGACACATACCTTAGTTACATCCTGCTGGGATTACTGTAAGGCACTGCACATGGGGCCGCTTTTGAAGTGTTTGTGTGGTTCAGAGAGCTGCTGCCAGACTGCTGACTGGGGCTGGATATAGGGAGCACACAACTCCTCTGTTGAAACAGCTGCACTGGCTCCCAGTCTGTTTCCAGGCACAAATCAGACTGCTGGTGATGACCTATAAAGCCCTATATGGCTTTATCCAGGCTCTCTGAAAGTCTGTATTCTTAGGAGCTTGCATTGGCTCTGAGATCTTCTGGGGAGGCCCTTCTCTTAGTCCCACCACCCTCACAAGCAGGAACATGGAAGAGGCCTTCTCAGTGGCTGCACCAAGGTTCTGGAATACTCTTCCAAAGGAGACTAGGTTGGCACCTTCCCTGTTAGAGTTCTGTAAGGAGGCTAAAACGTTTTTATTCCAGCAGGCATTTGGAAATAGCCTGTGAGTTTGCACTGGATTAGTTTTACTATTTATATTTTTGTAGTGTTTTTAATCTAGGGTTAATCTTGGTAGTAGTTTAACTTGAATATTCATTTGATTTGATTATATTTTTAATTTTTGTATGCTACTTAATGTTTAAATTGTGTGAGTGTGAATGTTAAGAGCTGCTGAGAGCCCAGTCCTTGATAATTGGTGAGAAATAAATAAATGAAGGTCTAAAAGTGAAAGTGTAGAGGCCCACTATGTCTCTTTAGATACATTTTTCTCATCCACTTGTGTCAGGTCTGGGACATGGGCAACAGGTAGCTATGGCTGGAGCACTAGAAACAGGAATTATGGTGGTAGATGGAGGCCTTAGCAGAATGCAGCAGGACCAAAGGCAATGTCAAGGGTCAAATATCGACAGGGCATGGTCAGTCCAAGGGCAAAGGCAGAATCACAGGCAAATTCAAAGTCAGGTGCCTGCAAGGATCAGATATTGGCAAAGTGTGACAGGTCTGGAGGTAAAGGCAAGATCAGGAGCTGCCAAAGATCTAATACCAACAAGGCCTGGCAGAACCAGAACATAAGAAAAGCCATGCTGGATCAGACCAAAGCTCCATCTAGTCAAGCACTCTGTACACACAGTAACAAACCAGCTGTCCACAGGATTCCTCAAGCAGGATGGCTGCAAAATCTCCTCCTACTGGAGCTCCTCAGAAACTGGTGTATGTAGACATGCAACCTCTAGTAAAGGGGAGGTAGCACATAACCAGCAAGGTCTAGTAGCAACTGATAGCCTCCTCTCTCATGAAGCTGTCCAATCCAATGGCCATCACAACTTCCCAGGGTAGCAAATTCCATAGTTTCCACTCAATGTGTGTGGTACTTCCCTTTATTTGTCTTAAACCTCCCACCAGTCAGCTTCATGGAATGACCCCAGGTGCTAGTGTTACTTTTGCTCTATACCCCATGCATTATTTTAAACACCACTATTATGTTTCCCTTACTCGCCCTTTTCCTATGCAGTCCCAGTTGTTGTAGCTGTTCCTCACAGGGGAGGTGCTCCAGTCCCTTGCTCATTTTCTCTGTACCAGAGATGAAGGCAAGGTCCAGGGGCAAACTGAGATCAGATATTAGCAAGGTGAAGTAAGGCCAGGAGCAAGGCAAAGACAGAAGTACCCGAGTGAATACCTGCAGATGTGCTCCTGGTCCTTTAGGCACTTGAAGGGTGAAGTATACTGTTCATCACCTTGGGCAGGGGGGCACCGTGTCACAGCTTCAAATTCTGACAATATGCCTGCTTTATTTTCCCCAGGAAAAGCGGATTTATGACCTGAAGAAAAAAAACCAGGAGCTGGAAAAATTCAAATTTGTACTTGATTATAAAATAAAGGAATTGAAGAAGCAAATAGAACCACGTGAGAATGAAATTAAAGCCATGAAGGAACAGATCCAGGATGTAAGGACAAGATCAGCCAGTGCACTTCTTGCACTGTGACTGGATCTGATTTAAATCCATATCAGGCTTTCTTCACAATCAGTCTCTTTTATTGCATTTGTGCAGATGGAAGGAGAGCTGGAACATTTTCACAAGCAGAACACACAACTGGAACTAAACATAGCAGAACTGCGGCTAAAGCTGAGAGCCACAGACCATGAGATGCACAAAGAGATGCAAAAGGTGAGAATCTGAGGAGTGAAGAAAATGGTACAGGTCGTGATCATGTCACTAAGTTACACAATAGATGCTGCAATATTGCCTGCAGGATTCTGGTGATGGGAAGGAATTGCCTAGTTTGCCAAGAGATACTGATCTGAAGACTATAATTTCACGTACCTTCTCTCCAGATTTGTAGATAATGCTGTTTAAACACACCTCTGCTATTGGCATTACAGTATTCCAATCATACACATGCAGAAATGACTAAGTTATCACTCTCATAAAATACATTTATGTATATTAATATGCTATTGCACTAAATAATGAGCAGTGCAAGTAACTAAATAGCACTAGGTTTTAAAAATTAGTGACCCAGTTATCCCTGGAAAAAGTTATTGACCCTGTTTTGCACTACTGGTCTAAAGCTCAGGTCTACCACTGTCTTTGTGGGTTGAATGCTCTCTGGCTAGCATATGTTCCACAGATAATATATGAAACTGTTTGGCCTAAGCAACTAGCAATGCATTCTGTTTTAATGTTCCTTTGGTTGTAGGAGCGGGACATGGAAGCACTTATCAAGCGCTTTAAAACAGACCTTCATAATTGTGTGGGCCTTATCCAGGAGCCTAAGAAACTGAAGGAAAGCATCAGGGAAATCTATGAAAAGTATGTGCAGAAGGCAGATATGGTAAGTTAGAATTCTTTCTTTTCAGCAGTAGATCCCCGCATTGCCTTGTGTGAGCTTGTCTTCTTTGTTTCTTCAGGTGGAGATTGTTGGGGTCAACACAGACTTGCACCTAGAGTATACACGGCAACGAGAACACCTTGAGCGCAACCTAGCAACACTGAAGAAGAAGCTGATAAAAGAAGGCGAGATCCATCGTGCAGACTATGTGCGCATCATGCAGGTATTACTACAGGGAGTGAGGCAAATCCACTCTTCCATCCCATTGTCTAAGGGGAATCCTACTTGGTCCATGCATAGAACTTTTATAAATTCCCAGGCCCAGAAGATTCCAGGTATAACTTTGAAAAGTACTGAATCTCTTGTAGGGATGGCCAAGATGAGAAGAGCTTAGAAGACAATATACTGGTATTTTGCTGCAAAATTTAATATAGCTGAGGCAGATGTGAAGTCCACATTGGCATGGATTAGTGCTCTACTCCTTCACACCTCATATCATCTGCTTCATTTAGCCCTTTCTCTTCTTATCCAGCCTGTCAATATACTTCTGTTCACCATGCTAAACATTTCTTTCGATCTTTATTGGGATACTGTAGAAAAACATCAATTAAGGCCATGTTATGTCTTGATCCAACAGGAAAATGTGAGCCTAATTAAGGAAATAAATGAGTTGCGGAGAGAACTGAAGGTCACTCGTACGCAAGTCCATGAGCTCCAGTCAACTTTGGGAATCCTTAGGAAACAAAAGAAGCAACCAGCACACTCCACAGGTGATTAGTGTTGCTTTTTAGCTCCTGTTTTACTCTGCCCTTTCACAGAAAATCATTTCTGCTCTTTTCCTTTGCTATATTTTCTCTGTAGAGACTCTGGGCTATGAAGTAGATGTCACATCTTAAGTTGAACTGAGCATGTGCTGAAATCTGGCTTTTACTAATGCAGAAATGTATTTTAAAAACCTACATAAGATGGGGCTAACTGTCAACACACGCGCACACACACACACAGTGTTTGTCCGTAATAACTTCTTTCCGATAGCTATCAAAAACAGACTGGTGTGTTTAAGTCTCTTTTGCATTCTAGATTCAGTTTTGAATTTTTTGCTTGTTTCACTCTGCTGCTGTGATGGACACAGGTGAACAAAACTGCACCATGTGCATGAGCCTAAGTACTTTGACTCCCGTTCATTAAAGATTTTGTTGGGGGTGTTTGGCAAGGTGACACTCCCCACCACAGTTGCCACTAGTACATCACTTGAATTTCACTCTAATTCCCAGAGGGGATAGAAAACAAAGCATGAAGAAGTGTTCCTTTCACTTATACTTCCACCTGCCTCCTCACCATGTAAGGAATGGTGAAGATGCAGGTGGAGTGGTGGGAAGCGGCAGGGTGAGGTGGCAATGAGACCCCTACTCAGCCTCAGCAGTTGCCCAACAATGCCGGCTCCTGATGCTAGCCTTGCTCGTATTCCTATAACGAAGTATGATTGTGTTTTGTTCTTTGTCTTATATTTCTGGGTATCCTCCATCTTGATTTATCCCTTGGGGGATTTTCTACAATTCTATCAAGGATTTTCCTTTCTATTTCTTCTAGCTCCTTCCCCTGATCATCAGCATAGTCCAGGCGTCCTCCGGTTAAATCCAGAGGAGGAAACTGAAAGGATCATTGAAATGCAGCGACTGGAAATCAAGCATCTTCGTGACCAAATACAAGGACAAGAAGAAGCCCTCGCACTCCGGCCTGTGTCAGCTGGGAAACTTCCCATGCTGGACTTGGACAGAAGCACTCGTGTACCATCACACTGATCTGTGCAGAAAGATCCCCACAGTACCACTCTGCTAATTTTCTCTGCATCTCTGATCAGAACAAGGACTCCTTCCTGTCCCAACTCCTGCTTTTTGTTTTAATATTTCTAATTCTGGACAGTGACAGAAGAGGAAAGGAAACAATAAACAAGTCGGCTTGGATTTGTCTGTCTTGTGCATATCTCCCAACAGGAGAAGTACGTGGGAAAGCATGCAGAGTTCCAAAGAAGGAAGCTTACTCATAGGTAGCATTCCACATAGTATTCCTTGGTTCCAACTCAAAGCAAAATTGCATAACATTGATGCAAACAGGTCAGAAAAGTCTGAATTCCCTCCACATTTTCAGTCACTGGTTTCTCTTAAGACTTTCAACAAAAAGAATGATTGCCTGCAAGGGTTAGAAGTTTTCCACTGGCAAAAGTGTCTTGGTTGGTCAGAGACCCTGTCGGGACCCTCTGTATTGCCTTTCTATTGATCTGTGCTGAGCTGCTTTCAGATACTTGCAGAATAGTAAATCAGTGTGCAGGCTAAAACTATAGGTCTGCGCCACACATAGTTTGATCATTTCCTAGAGTCCTTCACAATGCTCCACCTGTTCCCTCTCACTATATTTCCCATTCATACAGCTATCCCATCTCTCTCGCCCCCCCTATACAGAGCTTAACTCAAAACCGTAGTGTCTTATTCTTGGTGACCTTGCCTCCCACCCCAGTGATGCATTGCATCATGCTTCAGATTTAAAGGGAAACACATAATTGTGCCTTAAACTTCCCTAAATATGTAGCAAGCAATGCATCAAAGTTTAAACCGCACCCTCTGTGCTTCATTTGACTTGACAGCATAGTTTGCATGCAATTGAGCTGCAGTTTCCCAGAGCTGAATTATGTTTTTGCATATGGGTGGAATACAAACATTGAGGTGTCCAAACTGTAATGAGAGAGATGAAGGGAAAAGAGAAAAACATTCCCAACATATGTCTGCAAATCTAATTTGAAGAATGCTTCTGGAGGAGGCATTAACTGCAAATTCCATGAAATTTTATGGAAAGTCTGAGTGTCACCTTCCATTGGACAGCCACATGTTGGGGATTATGTTATGGGGCTAGCTGGAACTGGGGGTCAAACGAGATGGCTGTGGAGGCCCCTTCTGACTTGCTTAGCTTTTATGTTTCAGTTGGTAATGCTCCTGTGCTTTCTCAAACAGGAAAACAAATCTGTTAAGGAAAATATCTATGCCATACCATTTAGGAATACTTCTAGATGAAGGGGAACTACTGCCAACAATCCAGTAATAACTGTGCAGCTACTTTTCCTAACAGTTTCCATGGTAAGAAAAAGAATGGAAGATGCTATAGGAAAAAATGAGAGAGCTATGAATGAAAGATAATGTGGCCCACTCAACATTTTAGTGAATGAAGCAATGTGATGGCATGATGAAAGCCTTGTCCCAAAGCCCCCTGAGTGTTAGCACTAGGAACCTTCTGTCTGGAAGCACCCAAAGACATAAGGCCAACACTAATTAAAGCAGCTAACAAAAGTATAAAACTGAGTGTAGAGCTATAAAAAGACAAAAGACACCCTATGCATGTGAGAGCCTATGCTGGTGCAGTGGTTACCTGGTTGGACTTGGACTCAGGAGATCAAGGTTTTAGCTCACTGAGTGACTTATGCTGAAAATCAGCAGCTGACTCTGACTAACTTCACATGACTGTTATGAGGAGAAAATGGTGAGGAAAGGGTCTGGGAGGCAGGAAATAAGTGCAATGAGAAGAATGAACAGGAAAAGAATTACCTCAGAGTTATCAGTGGCAGAAAAAGCAAGAGCTTATGGCTGATAAACTGAACTCAAATCAGACCACAATACTACAGTGGGGGAAGATTACTGTGGCAGAGGCACTGGAAACCAAAGTTTGCACTAAGCATGGCATGGAATGCTTTGTCCAACCTGGAGCACCTTGTTCCAAGAATATCAGCAAAGTGGTGGATTCAGAGAAGATAAATATGACCACAGCAGTCCCATTCAATTTTAAACGCTGTGGGTTTGGTCCTGATTCATATAAACTGATCTGGAATGGCATGCTAATTAGCTGGTTGCTTGAGGGTAATAAGTAAAAAGAGATTTAGGGCACAATCCTCTGCAAGTTTAGGCAGGAAAAAGCCTATGGTTCCCAGCATTCCCCAATTCTTTCTAAGAATTGGGCTTTTAGGGAATGAAGCTTCAGCTCCATCTGCTCTAGGAAATACTGATAATGATGCTGAGGTGTACAGGAAAGCAAGGGGTGTGTCCCAAATAATATATTATTTTTTAAAAATCTGTAGGGCTGATTCTGTACTGCTATGCACAGTCAGTTACTTGCAAAAGATGACTAAGCATGCCTTCAGGTCCTAGATCACTCATACCCAATATTCCTCTCTCTATCCATCATCAATTCTTTCTGTAATGAAAAGGGAAGTGATTCATTCCATGTGTTGATAATTACTAGGTGTCTAGGCATGTCTTCCTCTGACAGGTGTTTTAAAATACTCACTAATTGTTAAGCTTTGGCTCCATCATGATGTAATAACGCCCTTAGGCCAGAGGTTTTTCCCATGGCACGTGTGTGCATTCAGAAGATAGAGCTGGAGAACCTGCCCAAAAGGGATTGGCTTCATTCTAACAAGGGAAGAGAACAAAGCAGTTCATGACTGAAGGGATGGTTGCAGTCCAGTATTTTCAAGCAGTTAAATCCTAAACTGAAGGATGTTACTAGAAGAGGTGCAGAATGGAAATGTGCATTTCTTTATTTTAGCCACATGTACAAGTCTGCCTTGAATTCTTAGGCAACAGAGCAAATTTTTGTGCTTGTGTAGTAATGATATCACAAGGTAGGTTTTTTCTACAGGACAATATGTTAATGTAAAGCTTTGTGTCCATTTTATTATGAAATATGTTTCCCACCCTGAAGCACACTCGGTCTACATCTGAATATGCGTTTTCCCATTATTGTCTCCATAATGCCTGTACTCACTGGCTGACCATATGAAAATGGAAATGATAGTGCTCTGGGGAAGGATGAGCTAAGTTACTCACATATGTTGTTGGGATTTAGAGACACAAATGCAATTTCAGTCTGGCTTCCAACAAAATAGGGTACAAGTGGTGAGGGGGCATTGGTAAATGTCTTGCCTATATCCAAAAGAACACAAATTATGTGTTGGAAAAACTATATTGGATGTTTCAAAGCAAATGTTCTTGTCTGTCCACGCAGAACTACTTAAATGGATTTGTCTATGCTAACAGGATTCTGGAACTTGGAAGTGAGTGTGCAAAAGAGTGAAATGTTTGATGGCACAAACCTTAGGCAAAATTCCTAATTTCTCCATCTTGTTATCCCATAAAGCAAGCATCTATATCATCAGAACATTGAGCTCCTGAAATGTAAGGGTGTTGTTGCATGCCAGTCAAAGTCTGACCCAGTCACATCTTAGCCAGCATTCCTGCAAGTTCCTTCATTTTATTACAGTATTATATACTATTACATACTATTCTGGATACATAAGAACTGAGAAAGAGACTCTGCTTAATAAGATCTTTTTCTCCTGAAGTCCAAAAAAATACTCAATTTTAGGCCCAAAGGAGAGCTCTCATTTCCAAGATGTATACCAAAGATAACAGCTTCCAAATAACCTTCCAAACAGGCACAAGAAGGTAGAGAGTGGCTAAGATTCTGCCTGGTGCCACCTGACACCCAAAAAAAAAAAAAAAAAAAATCCCTCATGTCTTTCTGCTGCCCCTTATCAAAAGGCAGATTGTAACTATGATGTTTCTTAGCGGAGAAAAGTCATCTTGCAATGGACCTGCCTTGTGAGGGTTACATTAGATCACTGTCACCTTGTGTTGGCTTGCCTCTTTCTGTAATGCATATCTTCCTTTCCCTCGCTCCACCGGCTCTTATTTCTGTTTTCCTCAAGCACACAGTCACTAAGCTGGAATGTTTCCAAGGACAACAGCAGGTTGTCTCTCCAACTCCACCCTGCTTCAGAATGTACCTGCCTGTGCAAAGGTCAGCACATGCTACAAGCCTATCAGATGGAGCATCTGGTAAGAGGTAGATGCAGGAAGAAGGTGGGACTTGCACCTGTTGCTTAACAGGCAGACACGATCAGGGAGGGAAGAAGGAAGAGTTTAAAGTTACCCTCCAGCCACATCCTGAAAATTGCCCCCCTCAGTCAACTCCAGTGGAAGAAGATTACAAGCCTTCCAGCCAGCCTGTCCAAGAGTGTGGGCAAAAAAGAAAAGTCTTGTGACAGCATCTTCCACAGGGGCTCAACTTTAGGTGAGTAAAGTCCCTTTCCTTCTCAGCAAATATCTGCTTGTTTCCACTACACACTATTCTCTTTCCTTTTGGTCATGGTTTGGAGGGGTTGCTATATGAAAACTTTTCCAAAGGGCAGAAAACAAACTCTTCCCCACCTTCTTTCCCACCTGCACTCTACCACATCTCTATACACTGCGCATGCCTTGTTATTTATTGCTCCTCACTCTATAGTGCTGTCCCAACTAGACTGGGGCATTGTTATTACCCACAGTGCAAATACTTTCAGGATAGGAGAATAGTGAATATGTCTGAGAACATGCATGGAAGGGAGAGAAGGGAACCTCAAAGCCACTTTTCCTGCCTAGTTATCCTCATGCTGTAGTCCTTCAGGCTAAGCATAGGAGGGGGTAGGAAGGAATGTGAGAGGTTCTTTCCCATGTGGGTTAATGCTGAAGAACTGACAGACCAAGCAGGCTGTAATCCTCTGCAGGCACTCTAACAAAACACAACAAGCAGTGTTCTGAGCTGTGCATGAGCCAACAGCGGCTCAGCTCCCAGGCAAGTACTGCCTAGAGCACACAGCTGTTCTTTTGCCTGCTCAGTGTATAAGTGACGTGGATGGAGACATGGGCTTGGATCTCATGCCAGAGCCTGTGATAGAGGAGACTCAGGGTACAGCCTCTTGTTCTGCCAGGAGTTCTAACTTCACACACAGCTGCGATGGTAAGGCTACATTTAGCGCCTTTCCCTCCTCCTACCAATGT